TGTGCTTGCAGGTGGGGATGGGGAAGATGGTTTCCATCTCACAGCATTTCAGGTCAAGTGATATTTCCTAAAAATTTAAAAGGAGCCAGTTCTTCTAGGACACAGTCCCACAGCCAGCAGTGTCCTGCCCCTTGTAGGGTTTGCACATGAATCCATGTGCATTCCCAGTGGGAAGTGTTTGGGTTTGTGTGAAAAAATCTGGCCCTGTGCTTTGGGCTGAGAGAACATTGCTGATGCTTTGCTGCTTATCCATTCACTTAATTCAAGCATTGATCTGAAACAGAATCAGATTTCTCCCTCCCCTGCTCACTGGACACTTCTCTGCAGCTGAGACAACCCCAATTTTTAATGGTCCCACCTCAATTAACATTAAAACCTGGCACTCTGTGCCTCTCCATAGCCTTGCAGTGGGGTTTGTAGGACATCCTGGTCCAACTGGTACTGAGAGATGAGAAATTAAACTGGTAATGGTTAATTGGCCTGGCCAGACTGCAGTGGGGTATGATCCAAGAGCTGTAGTCTGGGGTGAGGATTTATTTCTGGCATCTCACTCGTCGAGGAGCTGCCTTGGGAACTTCCTCCTTTTTTGGGCAGGAGTTGTCCTGCCCTTTAGTCCCCAAGGTGGGGGTCTCATCAACCATGCCCCTAAATTCCAGTTGCAGCTCTTTGGGTCTCAAGGTGCCACCCCATGCCATGAGTTTAACCCCAGCCCTGTTAAACATTGCTTGTCTGGATATTGTTCATCAGAAACCTGGGATTTTTGTAATCATGCTTTTCCATTGAATACTGTTGCTAAACAATTCAGAGTGCCTGATAGAGGACAGCTCTTTCCTTCTGGGATCAAGAGCTGCCAATAGCTTTTATTTTCTTTCACTGGAAAAGGGTTTAGTCTGACGTGGATGCAGAACTGTGAGGACAGGTGTGACACCTGTCTGAGCAGGGTTCCTCCCCTCCTCCCTGCTCCTCCCCACCCCTCACAACCTGATTGAGCAGAAATGGAAGGATTATTTTATTTGAGAAAATAAAAAGTTGTTATTTCATGTGAATGGTGGGTAGATGGTTTGGTGTGTTTCCTAACTCTTTTTTTTACCTTTGGCCACCTGAGGAATCCTGGATGCTCTCACAGGAGATTTAGGGGACAATAGAAGGTGAAGTGGCTGCAAGAGACAGGTGATGGGAGATAAATAGATACTATACCCAGTGCCCAAGCTAAGAAGGTGACTTTGAACTCTGTAAGTTCCCTTCCCTATTCCTGGCTTTGTTCACAGCTAGAGTGCAGAGGAAATCCTGACCATGGAGGCAACGAGTGGAGAACAAGCTCCAAATTATCCACATTATCCCTGGCTGGCAGTGGAAATCTGGCCCTTCCCAGTGTGAGCTGGGTGGGATGCTGTTCCAGCACATTAACTCACCCTTCCCATTCCCCGTGAAGGTCACACAGGCAGAGTTGCCTTCACAAAGACTAATTTTGGTTTTGTTTTGTCCCTGAGTTTCTGACTTTTCCATCCAAATCCTGCAGCCTGCCAAGCCTTGGCACAGAGCCGGGCAACCAGAACTGCTGACAGGGCTTCATCCTCAGCCCAGGTAGTGCTGGGAGCCAGAGGATGCTTGGTGTGAGGCTGAAATGCACAGTGTTACCTGCTAAAACCTGTCCTTGAATAGCTGGTGCTACCTCAGTGTCGGTTTCAAATTGATTTTGGCATATCACTGTTAAAACCTCCTCTGCCTAATTAGCTTCATTTAGGAAAATGGGCATTTTATCCTGTTCAAAATGAACAGATACATGATTAAAATTGGAATGGGGATGAAGTAAAAATAGTTAAGCTAGAAGAAGCCAACTTCTTTTTTCAGAGAGAGTAGCTTTTTTGGCAGTAAGTTTATAGCTGCATTTGAAAATGCACCATTTAATTGCAGTATTCCTTCTTGGAGCTTCCCTAATTGTTCTGCATTTATGTTAAAAGCAGCAAACGTTGCAGTTCGTGCTGGAGTGAGTTTGCCTCCAAGAGATCTCCCAAGTCCTGAAAAGACAAGATCCGAAGGGCGAGGGGGAAATCTGCTGCAGCATTAGGGCTGTACTGGAGCCTCCTGAGGTTTATGGAATTTGCAGCATTTCAGTATTTAAAGGGGCTTATAAAAAATGTAGAGAAGGAGTTTTCACAAGGGCGTGCACTGACAGGAAGAGCGGGAATGGCTTTAAAATGAAAGGGGAGATAGAGATGAGGTGTTAGGAGGAAATTCTTCCCTGTGAGGGCAGTGAGGCCGTGGTACAGGCTGTCCAAAGAAGCTGTGGCTGCCTCATCCCTGGAAGTGTCCCAGGCCAGGGCGTGGAGCAACCTGGGATAGAGGAAGGTGTCCCTGCCCATGGCAGGGGTGGAACAAGGTGAGCTTTGAGCTCCCATCCAACCCGAACCATTCTGGGATTTTATGCATTGACCAGAGCCCCTCACTGGGGAGCTGCTGAAGGGAAATGTGATCAGAGTCTCTGTGTGTGTTGGGAGAAGGACTCTCCAGGAGGGTGGGTGCAGGCAGGAGCTGTGGATTTGCCCTGAAAAGAGCAGCACCCTGCATTTCTCTGCTGTAGGAGGAAAACCTTGGCTGGATGATGCTCAGCCAAAGCTGCCCTCAGCAGCCCTGCTGGTGCTCTGTGCTCCTGCCTTGCTCTTCCAGCTGCCTCCAGGCTCATTCATGCTGTCCCCAGGGGCCTGTGCTCATTCTGCCCCATCCCTGGGGCCGTTCCCCTACCTGAGCACAGCCAGGTGTGGAGCAGGGGGGCTCAGCTTCCCCACAGCCCATCAGCCACCCTCCATCCCCCTCTGCAACCAGCGCCTGCCTAGAGGCGTGCTCTGCTTAAAATGCCTGTTCCAGGCAATCAAGCAGGTTTGATTGGCTGAACACTCCTCTTATAATTTAATTTAGTCAGGAATCGTTTGCAAGGTAATAAAGAGTGACTCTGCCTCCAAATACATTCATTTAATTCAATGGGAGATGGTTGCTGCGGCGGGCTCGCCTCAGCCAGCTCCCCTCACCCCATCACGGTGACATCTCAAAGTGCTGCTCAGGGCCGTATATAAGAGTCACGATCCGCAGTGACAGCTTAATTGTCTCAAATGCTGACAAGGGTCACCCCAACCAGTCATCGCGAGTGGCGCGGAGCCGGCTGGGGAGGCTGCGGGGAGGAGGATTTATGGCTGGCAAATAGTTTTGAATTCCTCTGGTTGCGCCTGCTAAATGATGAACCTGCCCCGAGGGGATTGGGGCTATTGATTGTAATTTGCAGTTAAGCCCTCGCGTTCTGAGGAATCAGCATAATAAATACCCACCGCATTACGGCTGGGACGTGCCTGCCTGCAGGAGAAGGAAGCTGAGATTTTCCCGGGTGCTGCAGCAGGATGCTCTCTCTGCCTCTGCATGTGGCTCTATCACTGCAGGAAAATGGTCCCCAGTTTGCTGGGATGCAGGAGTGCAGTGCTGGAATGGGGAGAATGGAGTTTTGTGAAGGCAGGTGGAGTGTCCTGCTCGTCCAGGGAGGAAAGGATGCTCTGGTATTTTGGGATCATGGGTGTCTCAATCCCTGCCAGAACCTCTGCAGCTGGCTGGTCCCAGCCCACCTTTGAGGGGTGTGAGGAGGTGCATTTGTTCCTCGCTGACATGTTCTCTGATTTCTTCTAAACTTCCATTTGGTTTGGGGGCCAGAATGGGTCAGGGCCATTTTCCAGCTGTTCACATCTGGGCTACACTGAGGCTCATCTACATCGTGGGAGGGATGTGGGACAGTCCAGCTGTGTCACCAGGGGTTCAAGGAACAGGGACCACAGGAGGAGGGGGCCCTCACCCCTCCAGCCACTCCCTCCCTGCTGCTCTTTGGCTCTGTGAAGGAAGATCAGCTCCCATCCCTCTGCTCATGAGTGGAGATGAGAATAATAGCAATCATCAAATATGCATCGTGTCCCTCCGTGCGACAGCGATGGTCCCGCAGCTGCCAAGGGAGGGATGGTCCCTGCAGGGAGCAGGGCTGGAGCACGGCACTGGCAGAGCACCGAGCCAGCCCCATGCTATGCAGGGTACCTGGCTGCCCCAGGTGAGTGGCTGTGGGTGCCCCAGCTGGGTGGCTCCTCCCTTGGGCTCGCAGTGCTGCAGTGGCTTTGCAGGGAAGGAACCTTCGTGTGAGACGGTGGTTTTTACGTGAACGCTGCTATTCAGGTTCTCCAGGTCAAGGTGTGTGGTGTCCCCTCACCTCTGCCTGTCCCTGCCTGTCCTGCCTGCTGTCCTTATCCTCCCTTATCTCACCTTCTGCCTTCCCACTTTCTCCATAGCCCCATATTCCTACTGCCCCCCAGAGCAGAGCAGCCTCTCCTGAACATTCCCTTCTTCCCTGGAACCCCCTACCCCATATTTCCTATCACGTCTTCTCCACACTCCTTTTACCTCAGGGCTGTTTTGCCCTAGGAAAGCTCCTGGGCTTGGCATTGGGACTGAGGTGATGGCACAGGGCTGTGACCTGGCTCCAGGGCTGCCAGCCAGCATATTCCTGGGTGCACGCCAGCATCGTGCCCAGCTGGTCTGTGCTTCCAGCATCTGCTCTGGCCTATCTCCTCCCATAACACCTCCCTCGTGGGGAGCAGGCAGCAGCTGGCAGGCAGGGATTGCCATGTATAGCCCCTGTGCTGGGTCCCCATCCTCATTTTGGAGGCAGGAACAGGAGGGGGTGGAAATTAGCAAATTAACCAGGTCAGGGGGGTGATGGGTGATTGGGGGAGCAAGAAAAGAGGCCACTGTGCCTCGTGGGCTTGGAGAGCTGTGCCATTGTCACATTGTTGGAAGGGTCCAGTTTATCCCTATGCTCCCAGCACCCCTGGAATTGTGGCTGGAGAGACAAGAGCTGTGCTTGGGCTTCCTCACCTGCTCGGGTGTTGGAAAGTGGATGTGCAATGACGCAGAAGACAGGGAAGGGGACGTGGTGAGAGGTGCTGCCGCGGCCGGGAGGTGCCTGGGCTGGCTCCGGAGCGCGGAGCTCCCGGGAGGCACGGCAGCGCCGGGGCCGGTGTGGTGTGATGGCACCGAGCCCTGCTCCGGCTGTAACTGGAAACAGGCTGTAAGGGGACCCGGGGCCGGCTGGTGACCACAGAGCTGCCTGGAGACGTGGAGCTGCTGCCTCTGGAGCTCTGCCCGCCGATGCCGGCACTCCAAAGGTACAGTCCTGGGCACGTCCTGCCGGGCTGGGGCGGGTGAACCCCCGAGGCCAAAGTCTCCATCCCCTCCCTGCATCCAGCCATGGCACAGCCGCAGGCTGCGGCAGCGGGACCGGGGCTGCCCCGGGCCGTGTCCCTGGGGTAAGATGGATTTCCCTGCCTCACCCACGCGGCTGGAGATATTCACGACTGACCTGACCAAAGGATGCTCTGGGTATCTTCTACCAGAGCCTTGATACCCGTTGCAGAGACCCCTCACTGCCAGGTTTTGCACCCAGGGTCTCTCTTGTGTGCTGCTGCTGGATGCAGCCGTGACCAGACACCCTGGAAACAGCCACCAAGTGTGGGTGCCCCTCCAACCCCCTGCATTTACTTCCATCCCACTGTGCCTGGGCACAAAAGCCTCTTGGCCAGCTCTGCTGTGCCAAAGGCAGTTGAACCACCCATGATGTAGAAGGAGAGAGTTTTTGGGTCTGGTATGGAGGCTGGGACCATGGAAGGCAGCACCTGTGTGGTGCCCCTTTCTCTCCCTTTATTCCCCCTCTCGGAGAGCCCTTGCCATGGGCAGGGAGGCACCATGGGCACAGCCATGGCAACAGCACGGGAGCTGTGCCAGCACCCAGGGCACCGACAGCAGTGCCAGGGCCGCTGCCCTGCCTGGGGGGGGACAGAGGTAGGGACTATGGGGTGGTGGCAAGGACTGCACGAGTGGTGGGATGCAGGGAGTGACCTCTAGCAGTCTTTCACCATCCAGGCTCTCTGCCAGCAGAGAGGGAAGGGCTGTGTCCATATCTGAGGTGTTTCCCTGCCACATCGTGGTGCCCAGGCTCTGTGTGCCCATGCCAGGAGGAGGGGTGGGGTGATGGTGTGGGGCAGGTGCCTGTGCCCCTGGCAGGGCAGGCTCTGTCAGCCTCAGTGGCCATGGCAGACCTGTGCATGGACTGTGACAGTGCCGGGTACAGCTCCTGCTGATCCTGTGTTTCTGTCATAGACCCTCTCCTGATGACTGCCAGGCGCCTCTCATCCCACCCTGCACTCCAGAACTGCCTCCATCTGTGCAGACCAGGGTGTGTCTATCCCAGAAATGAATGCACGTAGTAGGCAAAGCCATGGGACCATGGTGGATGCCTCTCTGCTGTAGATGTGGCAGGGAGGGACAAGGCTGGGGACAACACAGTGCCAGGAGATGCCAACCTTGGGCTCTCCTGATCCTGGGGGAGACCAATGGGTTCAGCCCAGCAAATACTGCTGGTTCTTTGGTTCTGCCAGCTGCTGCACAGCTGGATGCTTCTGTCTCCCCAAACGCATTCCCTGTAAGGGGGTGCAGCGGGTGCTGCCCCTGCCCACACCAGCCCCACTGCTGCCAGCAGGTGATCCATGTGGGACAGCGAGTTCCCACTGCTGCTGCTTAAACTTTGATGAGCTGCAGCGGCAGGAATCCAGGCCTGGCATTAACATTTGATGTGGTCACCCCGCGCCTGGGCACGTGTGTGCACGAACACGCTGCTGGCACTGTCGCGGGTCACACGTGTGGCACATGCAACCCCTCTTGCCAGCTGTGTGTGGGCACGGGTGGCACCCCGCACATACCTGCCACCTGGCATGGCATGGCATGAGGAGTGCCCCTGCGGGCTCTGGGCTCCTCAGTGCTTCCCGGCAGGGCTGTGGAATTTGTTCTGGTGTTGGGTCCCTCCCTTGCGTCGCTCCTCTGGGAGGTGTTCCCTCCGCTGCCTTGGGCTCTGCAGAATTCTCATCTCTCTCTTGGTGCCAATCTCTGGGCTCCATCCGTCTCCGTGCTGACCGGAGGAAGAGGCCGACTGCTCAGGGAGGAGCAGAGGAAGCCGCGAGGCTTGGGGAGGTGGCAGGGTCCCGTTTTGGGGTAATGACGCTGCCCTTGCAGAGTCCCCCTAGGGGGATGCTCCCAGCAGCCGGGGCCCTTCCCTGCTCCTTCGGAAAAGTCTCAAGGCTGGCGTGGTGCATCCCTTACATTATTCATGCCGCCGCGAGCCTGGCGGTTGGGTTACAGCCGGATCCCAGGCATCGGCACCGCGCTGCCGACTCGCGGGGTGCGCGGGAGGCAGGAGCAGCTCCGCCGGGCTGCCCCGGGGCCGGCTCCCACCGCCCCAGCGCCATGCCAAGCGGGCGGCCACCGGCGCCCGAGGGAGCCACGCACGGGCATGTGCCTCGCCAAACCCGGGCACAGGTAAATAACCAGCCAGGGCAGGCGGGGTCGGGAGCCGGGAACAGGCTCCTGCCGGCACAGGGCATCATCTCCCAGGGCCCCGCTGGGGCCGGAGCATGAGCGCCCGGCACTGCCAGGATGGCCGGCAAGAAGGGGGAACCCAAAGGGAAGGCGGGCAAAGGGAAAGGGAAGGATGGCAAGAAGGGCAAGAAGGAGGATCCCAACGAGTCAGAGGATGCCTCAGATGCGGAGCTGCTGAAGGCAGAGGAGAGTGAGGAGACGGAGGTGGTGGAGGAGCAAAAGGAAGAAAAGGAGGAAAAGGAGGAGGAAAAGGAGAAAGATGAGGAGGAGGTGGCTGCAGAGGAGCCCAAGAAGGGGAAGGGGAAGGAGAAGAAGGGGTTGCCCAAGGCAGGAGTGGCAAAGAAACTGGGCCGTGGGAAGAAGGTGCAGCAGGAGACGGAGGAAGAAGAGGGTGAGAGTGATGCTGCAACAACCAAGAAGATGAAGGGCACCTCCAAGCTGGTGATGGGGCTGGCAACCGACAAGAAGAAGAAAGGGGCCAAGGGTGCAGAGGCCAAGGGCCAGCCCAAAGAATCTGTGGAAGCCAGCCCGGCCGAGGAGGAGGCGGCAGCGCCTCCGAAGGCCCGGGCAAAGCGGAGCCTCCGCAGCACCTCGAAGCTCTTCCTGGGCTTCAAGAACCTGGGCTTGCGTCGGCCCAAGAAGGGGCAGTTCAAGAACACATCCCGCTTCTTCTGGGGGCTGCATAAGCACAGCACCAAGAAGAGGAAGAAGAAGAAGAACAAAGCGGTGCTCAAGTCCACATCCAACCTGATGATGCGCTTCAAGGAGGTGGGCAAGAAGAGGAAGGAGGAGGCCAAGAAGGGGAAGGAGGAGGCCAAGAAGGAGCCACCATCGAAGCCATCCTTCCTGCTGCTGCGGCGGGGCGGGCAGGACCCCGAGGACGGCGCATCGCTCTTCCGCCGGCGCCCGGAAAGGAAATTCAAGCCCCGGGCGCAGGTGCTGAGCAAGGCGGCCGCTGCCACGGGCTGGCTGGCCAGGAAGGTGCTGTCCCGGCGCGGGCGGCTGGTGGGAGGCAGCCGGGCGACTGACACGGCCTGGCTGTCCCGTATCGGTGCCAAGAAGCTGCCGTTCCCTGCGGAAGACGAGATCCTCAGGCACCGGGCCAACATGAAGCGGATCCCTGGCGGTGTCGGGGTGTCGGCTGCCGGCACTTCGCGGCAGGGCAGCATGGTGAGGCGGCCATCCCGGCGGCGCTCCCAGCGTGCGGCTGCGGAGCCGCCGGGGCCGCCGGTGCCGCCGGGACCGCGATACGGCTGGGCCGAGGAGGAGAACGGTGCCTACGGCCGCCGGCGAGGCTACGGCAAGGAGGATGGGGCCTACGGCTCCCGCCGTGGATATGCCAGGAAGGAAGATGGAGCCTATGTGCCCTGGCACAACCGACCCAAGGAGGAAGATGGAGGGTACGGCTCCCACCATGGCTATGCTGAGGAGGATGGAGCCTATGGCCCGTGGCATGGCTACAGCGGTGAGGAGGATGCAGCCTATGGCTCCCGGCACAACTACTCCGAGGAGGAGGAAGGCTACATGCAGAGCCCAGCCTACCCAGCAGGGTACAGCTTCGAGGATGAGGTGCTGACCCCCTACTCTGACTACCCTGGCTATGAGACAGATGAGGAGTATGATTCCTACGGGGGATTTTGGGAGGATGGTGACCAGCTAGGGCACCCCTACAGCTACTCAGAGCTCGAGGATGAGGGACAGTTTGGTGGTGGGTCTCCCCTCAGCCTGTACGACCCGTACAGCAGCGACCCGGAGTACGGTGAGGAGGCAGCGGGGCCCTTCGGCTATAGGAGGGACCCCTACGAGGACTTTGGGGAGCCCTTTGCCGGGGGATACCCTGGGGGCGAGTACCCCGAGCATCGCATCCAGTACAGCGAGGGTGGGTGGGCACCGCACGCCCAATCCTCCTGCAACCCCTACGCCCTGGGCCTGGAGGAGATCGCTGAGGGCGAGGAGCCCGAGGAGTGGGAAGAAGAGGAGGAAGAGGAGAAGGAGTATCCCTTTTCCATCCTGAGCTCCTCCTCCCTCCGGGGCATGCGGGAGACGCTCTCCTCCAAGCTCTCCCTCAACAGGAAATTCAGGCTCTTCCCCCGACCCCAGGTCAAGCTTTTTGGCAGGGACCGCCTGGACGTCCCCCTCCCGCCGTCCCCCCACCTGCCCGCTGCCCGTGACGAGGACGACTACGACGAGTACGAGCCGCCGCCGCCTCCGGCAGCTCCCGGCCCCGCGGCATCCCCGGGCCGCCGGGTTTCGCCAGCGCGGGCGTGCGGGAGCCCCCTGGGGCAGTTCCTCCAGCGATCCCTCTCGATTCCTCCCAGCCGCCCTCCGCGAGGTGCCGGGGGATTTCGGGGGTCCCGCACCCCCCAGCCCTCCTACAGGCGCTCCAGCCGAAGGCTGGCGGGGACGGAGAGCGCCGGTTTGGGGGGCCAGGACTCTTCCCCTCCCTGGGGACAGCCCCCTCCCCGGGAGCCGGGGGCTGCTCGCCGCCCGTCGCTCCGTAACCCCTTCGCCAACCCCGGGCGCTCCCCGTCGCCGCCTCCCGTCCGTCCGCGCCCCGGTAGCACGCGGGGCGAGGGGCCACGGCGATCCCCCTCCCTCGGTGCCAGCCTCCGGCGCTTCGGCCCCGAGCCCCCCGCCCCGCCACCGACCGCCCCTCGCTCACCGGGACCGGGGGGGAGGCGCCTGGGGGGGCCCGCGGCGGGGAGACCTCTGTCATCGCGCCGGAGCAGCCCCCCCGGGCTGCCGCTCCCCCAGGCTTGGCCCCGGCTTCCCGAGCCCCCCACCAAGGCGGTGAAGCCGCTGCAGAGGACCCCATTCCTGGCACCATCGTCCCGCCCCGGCAGCCGCCGCCTCGGCCCCCCCGGACCCTCCTGGGATGAGGAGCTGCCCCACTGGCAGGGCTCCCCGCGGGGTCCCGCCGGGGTGCCCCCTCCGCCCAGTTCCGCTCCCAGCACCCCTAAAAGTTTCATCCAGCGCATCGGGCAGCCCCTTGCCGGGATGGCCCCGCACTCCCCACCACCGAGGCCATCTGCTGAAGTGGGGGGCCGCAGCCTCTCCAAGGGGCGCTCCGTGGCGCAGTCCCTGGCCTCGCTGCTCGTAAGGAGCATTGGCCCCACCAAAACCCCCTCCTCCTCACCACCCACCCGCCATCCCTCCACTCGCTCGCCCTCCTTGCCCAGGCGCCCATCCCGGCGGGACGGGAGCACCCGCAGGTCTCCGAGCCCACCCTCGGGCCGTCGGGGCTGGGCCGACGTCGGGCGCCCCATCCTCCCTTCCAACCCACGTGGCAACCGGAGCCCCTCACCGCCCCGTCGTGCGGCTTTCCCCCCACCCCACGGGCGAGCCCCCGGCTCTCCGGCCGTCACTCGCCACGGCGCTCGTCCCCCGGGGCCGGCGGAGCCCATCGAGGGTGACGGGGCGGCCGGGGAGGAGGGCGCGGGGCGCTACGCGGTGGTGACGCCGCAGGTGCAGAGGTTGGGCTCCTTCCGGCGCGCATCCCGCATGTACAAGCAGCACTGGTCCACGCAGCACGTCGTGCGGGTGCGGGAGATGCCCGACGCCTGGACAACCGAGCAGGGTCTCCCCCAGCAGCCCACCCAGCGCGGCCGGCGGTGGGCGGGCCAGTGGGGAGCCGACATCGCCCGATACCTGTGCCAGCGCTCGCCGGCGGGCGGCTGGCGGGACAGGCACCCCTGGGCAGACGGGTACCTGGGCAGCAAGCAGCCCTGGCGCAGCAAGGTAACGCCCGCGGGGAGCCCCCTCGGGGGGATGGAGCCGGGGGTGAGCTGGCACATGGCGGGACCCGGGACAGGGTGGCGAGTTAAGGTGCCTGGTGGCTCTCCCGGGCACGGAGACGTCGGTGCAGAGGGGTTTGCAGTGCCCAGAGTGGGGGGTAAATGGCTGTGGATGGTCTGGGTGCTGGCAGGGGTCCTCCCGTAGGGAGCAGACTGGAAGAAGGGATCATCACCTGTTGTGTGTCCCCCCCACGAGTGGCCCCTCTGGGGACACTTGATTCTGGCGTATGGAAATGCAGAGACCCGATCCGGCGGGGACAGGTGCGGGTGGCACGGTGACCCGGCGGGGTGTCTGCTTTCCTGGCCGGGTGCCAGCACAGGCTCCCGTGTGACACCTGTCCAGCGTCACCCCTGCACATGGCCGGGGGGAGCGGCCTCAGCCCCCCTCCATCACCTCCACTGAAGGTGATGCCCACGGTGAACGGGACCGGGATTCTCAGAGCCAAGTTTTCCTGGGACCAGCCCCAAGGTGGCCTTGCCTCATGTTTCTGTGTTCCAGCACTGCTGCTCTCACCTGACACACAATGCTCTTGCTGGCTTTTGGGGCTGTAGGGTGTTTTCTTGGGGTTCCTGCCATCGCTGACTGTGTGTCCCCTGGTTTGGGGTCGCAGATGGTGTTTGGGGTGGTGGTGGTTATGGGGTGGGACATCTGAGGGTGCTGCCGTGATGGAGTGGTTGCTCCATCCATGCAGATGCAGTCACTGTGCAGCCTGCCCATCGTGCGGTACCAGGAGCCACAGGAGGAGGATGGGCTGGAGGACATGACCCAGCTGGAGTGAGTGTCCCTGTCCCTGCATGCCTCAGTGCTGAGGGGGACAATGTAGCTGCAGCTCCCAACCTCATACCCCCGACCCTGCTACCCTACCCCATCTCATCCCAGCATGGGATCTACTTCAGCCTCCTGGGCCTGGGGATGCTGAGGAGACTCTGGGGACAGCAGACACTCCCTTGCCCCTCTGTCACCCCCTAATTCAGCCTCTGCTCCATGCCAGGGACCTCCAGGAGGCTGCAGTGCTGAACAACATCCGGACACGCTTCGAGCGCCAGCTCATCTACGTAAGCTTAGGGGGACACAGCATCCCCCAAAGACTGTAGGTGGGGGGTCTTTGGGGAGTCATCACCCTCTGACGGCTCTCTCTCTGGCAGACCTACATCGGCAGCATCCTGGTGTCAGTGAACCCGTACCGGCTCTACAACATCTACGGGAAGGAGCAGGTGCTGCAGTACGAAGGCAGAGCCCTGGGTGAAAACCCGCCGTGAGTACCAGGCTGTCCCCTAATGCCCTCTGGGGATGGGGTCACTCCCACCCTCCATCCCCCACCCTTGGGTGGTGCTCAGACCCTGGGGAGCCTTCGGTCACTGAGTGCTGGAGCAGGTGTGTCTGTGCATGGGGATGCTCAGGGCATTTTGGGGTCCCTGTGCTGGCCCGGCGTGGCACCGCACCCTCCCTGCTTCTCCCCACCCCAGGCACCTCTTTGCCATCGCGAACGTCGCCTACTCCAAAGTGATGGATGCCAAACACAACCAGTGTATCGTCATCAGGTGGGACAGCCCCCTGGGGTGCCCCCTAATCAACACCACCCTAATTGCTGGGTGCTGCCACCAGCCTGACTTGCGGGGATTTGGGGTGGTTTGGACTCCTTGTTTGTCTGGTGATGGCCCCAGCCATGCCCTCACTCTGTGTTTCAGTGGGGAGAGTGGATCAGGGAAGACCGAAGCCACCAAGCTGATCCTGAGCTACCTGGCAGCCGTCAGCCAGAAACGCAGCACTGCCCCACAGGTAGGATGCTGCCCTGGGGACATCCCTGAGTCCCCATGTCCCCATCCTCTTCTCCCACCTCCCAGCGCTCTCTTCCATCCCTTCTCACGGCTCTGCTGCTCTCTCTTTTTCCCAACGCTTCCACCTGGACCATGGCAGATCGAGGTACCAAGGGGACACGTGGGCTGGGATGGTTCAGGGGGACAGAGAATCGTGCTGGCATCTTGGCCATGGCGCCCCAGCTGCAGGGGAAAGGCGGGAGGGACAGCAGGAAATCAGTGCATGCACACAGATGCAGTCTTTGTGCTCTCTCATTTAACCTGGCTGTGGTGCAGACCTCAAATTTGGGAACCCACGGGTGTCTGCATGGAGCATGGGGTGGCAGGGTGACAAAGGGGGTGTCCTAGCCTTGGAGATGCCCCGTAGTGTGTCGGGTGCCCAGGCTGACCCCCCCAGCTCTCCCCATCACCACGACAGATCCTGGAGGCGACCCCTTTGCTGGAATCCTTCGGCAACGCCAAAACCGTGAGGAATGACAATTCCAGCAGGTTTGGGAAATTTGTGGAAATCTTTCTGGAGGAGTAAGTAACACTGAGTAACACCTGTGTGTGGCTGCTCCCACCCTATGTACCCTGCTGCCCAACCCAGCCCTTTGTCACTTGGCTCTGGGAGAACACGGGGATGTTTTTGGGACAAACCTGGTGTTGGACAGGTGATGTCACCTGAGGACAGGTGGCTGTCCTTGGAGAAGGGGCAGGGATGCTGTGACCTGGCTGGCATCTTGACCATTCCCAGTCCCTATCCCTGTCCTCATATCCCATCCCATCCCATCCCATCCCATCCCATCCCATCCCATCCCATCCCATCCCATCCCATCCCATCCCATCCTCTCTCAGCCCCTCTGATCCTGACAAGTGGGTGACCCAGAATCACCCCGGAGTGCAGTGCTCGAGTCAGGTGCAGACACCTCTTCCTGCCCACCTGTCCCTAGCAGGGGGCATCTGGGGAGCAGCACTGACCCCCCATTTTGTTGGGGGGCATTGGGGCATGGACGGGTGCACTGGGGGAGCCACAGCGCCTGCCCACACCGAGGTTGCCAGCCAGGTGCCCCCTCTCACCCCTGCAGCGGTTTGATCTGCGGTGCCATAACCTCGCAGTACCTGCTGGAGAAGTCCCGCGTGGTCTTCCAGGTGTGTGGTGAGGGGGTCCTGGGCTCTGCTCCCCACTCTGTCCCCTCTGCCACCCCCTCCCCAGCTCTGTCTTCTGTTCTCCAGGCCCAGAGTGAGCGTAATTACCACATTTTCTACGAGATGCTGGCGGGGCTGCCGTCCCAGCAGCGGCAGCGGTACTGCCTGCAGGGCGCTGAGACCTACTACTACCTGAACCAGGTAGTGTGTCCCCTCCCCAGCATCCCCCCAACTTATTTTTGGAGGGCTGCCCAACCTCAGGGTGCTGGTGAATCCTCAATATGTGGATGAGGAGGATGCCCAGGGCAGGGTGACCCCCCCATGCTGGGTGCTGACCCCACCCTGGGATCCATTGATGGACTGAGGGGGTTGTGCCAGGGTGGGAACTGCGAGATTCCTGGCAAGGACGACGCTGAGGATTTCCGCCGGCTGCTCAACACCATGGAGGTGCTGAACTTCAGCGTGGATGAGCAGAACAGCATCTTCCGCATCCTCTCCTCCGTCCTCCACCTGGGCAACGTCTACTTTGAGAAATACGAGGTACCGCATGGGGAGCCGAGCTGTGCTCCTTGGGCGTGATTTGGGATGTGGCCGCTGGGGGATCCCCACATCCCACGGCATCGCTGTGTGCTGCAGACCGACTGCCAGGAGGTGGCCACGGTGGTGAGTGCCACGGAGATCCGGACGGTGGCTGAGCTGCTGCAGGTGTCCCCTGAGGGCCTGCAGAAAGCCATCACCTTCAAGGTGACGGTGAGTGCAGGGGGGGACAGCCTGGCAGAGGGTGTCTGGCTCCTGGGGACCATGGCTGATGTTGCTGAAACCCCATCATGCTATTTCCCAACCAGGAAACGCAGCGGGAGAAGATTTTTACCCCTCTGACTGTTGAAAGCGCTGTGGATGCCAGGTAGAGGGAACAAGGGTTGAACTGCAGGAGAGTGTGGAGGGGTTTAGCCCCCCAGGAATGGTTTGGGAAGTGAAATGCCAGCTGAGAAAGGGGGTGATCAGGTCCCACAGTATGGATCAGACTGTGGTGATTAAAACTGATGCTGTGGTGGGTGCTGGCTGTGGCAGTGGAGTACCCTGGTGCCGTTCCAGAGCTCCAGCACTTATCTCTCCCCTTCCCAGGGATGCCATTTCCAAGACCCTCTACTCCCTGCTCTTCAGCTGGCTCACGGACCGCATCAACAAGCTGGTGTACCCGCGGCAGGAGGCCCTCTCCATCGCCATCCTGGACATCTACGGCTTCGAGGTGAGCAGGATTCATCCCACCTCCATCCTAGCTCGATCTCAGCTCCATCCTCCCAGGCTCCATGGGTTTTCCTTCTTGCAGGACCTCACCTTCAACAGCTTTGAGCAACTGTGCATCAACTACGCCAATGAGTACCTGCAGTTCTTCTTCAACAGGATTGTGTTCCAGGAGGAGCAGGTGGGGCTGGTGGGCAGTGCTGGGCTCTGCCAAGGTGCTGGGCACTGCTGTGGGCCGGGGGCACAGGGCTGACCTGGTGCCCACCCTGCAGGAGGAGTATATCCGGGAGCAGATCGAGTGGAAGGAGATCCCCTTCAGTGACAACCAGCCCTGCATTGACCTCATCTCCCAAAAACCCTACGGCATCCTCCGAATCCTGGATGACCAGAGCTGCTTTCCACAGGTGAGGGGCTGCCCAGTGACGAGGTCACTGTGGCTGGGGAATCACCATTGCCCCGGGTTCCTCAGGCTGGATAAGCCCAAAGTATCATAGAAACATCATGGGATCACAAAATGGTTTGGGTTGGAAAGGACCTTGGACATCACCTAGTTCCAACCTGCTGCTGAACTGCCCGAGCTGAGCTGTGTGTCACTCCCGTGTCTCTTCCCAGGCCACTGATCACACATTCCTCCAGAAGTGTCACTACCACCATGGGACAAACCCACTATACACAAAGCCGAAGATGCCTCTGCCCGAGTTCACCATCAAGCACTATGCAGGGAAGGTGACCTACCAGGTGTGTGACATTGGGTTCAGCAGGGATGTTAAGGCTGGTTAAAGAGGAGGTTGATCCTGCACCAAGGAGAGAAATGCATGTCTGGGGGTCTGGCTGGGGTCTTGGAGCTCCTTGCCTCACCCTGTCATCCTGCCAGGCTCCTCACCGTGAGGTTTTGCTATTTGCCAGGTTCACAAGTTTTTGGATAAAAACTATGACCAGGTCCGTCAAGATGTGCTGGACCTGTTCATTAGCAGCAGGACTAAGGTAGGGCCCTGCCTGGGGCTGGCTCTGCAGTGACACTGGGCATATATATGCCCAATAGCCCCCTTCCATACATCCCTTTCCATGTCTCCAAGCATGTCCCCATGGCCGGTGAAGCCCAGGGGGACCAGAAGCAGAGGATGCCTCTGGCTCTACCCATGGGATCCTCTTTGACCCCTCAAGCATTTGGCACAAACAGGCACAGGGGCTGTTCCTGTGCTTTTTATTACCCATATCCTCATCTCCATCCCTATCCAGGCAATCCAGCCACAATTAGGGGATGCAACTTGCTCAGGAATGGGCAAAAAAGGAGTGGCCAGGCTGCGAAGAGGATTTGGGAGAGCTGCACCATCCCGGCCACCTTCCTCCTCTCTCGACTTTCCTTCTCCCCCAGGTGGTGGCCAACCTCTTCTTCGGCCACGCCCAGGTGATGGCCCGGCAGAGGAGCCTCATCAGGAGGAGCAGCACCAGAACACGGCGGTACAAGGCTCCTACCGTGGCTGCACGGTTCCAGCAGTCGCTCCTGGAGCTGGTGGAGAGGATGGAGAGGTCGGTGTGGGCAGGGTGGGCAGCCAGGCCATCCACCTGGGAGCTAGACCTGAGCCTGAGGTGCCTGGGCTGCCTTTGTCCCCTGTTCCCTGTGGCTGACAGGATCTCTCTGTCACAGGTGCAACCCCTTCTTTGTGCGCTGCATCAAACCCAACAACAAGAAGGTGAGAGCGGAGCTCTCCTGCCTGTGCTGGTGCCTGTGCTGCCTGCCCTGCTGGCATTGGGAATGTCGTGGGCACACGGTGGGTGGGGGTTTGTCCCTGCAGTCACTGATGCTTCTCCCCATCCCTGCCCCAGGAGCCGGGGCTCTTCGAGGCCGACGTGGTCAGGACACAGCTGCGGTACTCGGGGATCCTGGAGACCATCCGCATCCGCAAGGAGGGCTTCCCCATCCGCATCCCCTTCCTCGTCTTCATCGACAGGTACCTGGGTGCTGCCATCCCAGTGAGGGGAGACCCCAGTTTGTGGGTGTTTTGGGTTTGGGTTCCCCCACACTGGGAGCCCCTCGTGTGAATACACAGCCCTGGGAGAAGCTGCGTCTCCAGGCGCGGTGTTTGTCACCACGGGGAAGGTCTGTGCTGCTGTCCCAGAGGGCTCCTGTGTGGTGACAGTGTCATGGGCTCACCCAGGTATCGCTGCCTCGTTGATATGTGGTCCAATGTCATTCCCAATGGGGCCAACTGTGTGGAGATGCTGAGGAGCCTCTGCCCCGTTAACCCCAGCATGTACTATGTTGGTGTCACCAAGGTACTGTCCCGGGAGGGGGCTTGGTTCTGGTGATGCCCTGGGGGTGGTGGTGTTGCCTGGAAAGGCTGACCTTTCCAGAGACTAGACAGAGCAAAAAGAATAAAATAGATATTTATTGAAAGGATACACCTTGGGCAGTGCAAGAGCCTGGCCGGGGCTACATCCAAATCAAATCCAAGATGGATCCTGGTCATGAGTTTTTACACTTTTATAAGTTTTGATTCATCTACATATTGGGATCAATTATCCAACCACAGACCCAGGCTATGAAGTATCAGCCCCCTGGCTTGCCCCCTTCCTTTTGCCTTTGTTTCTGCTTTTTGGGTACCAGTTGTTCTTGATTTTCTAGCTAGAAAGGAATTGTTTTGTCTAACTACCCTGTGAAGAGAACTTACTAACACTTAATATGAAGTTTCAGAGTTACACACTAAGCAGTAGAGATTCTGAAAAATATTAAAGCTAAAACCCAAGGCATCAGTGGCCAAGGCGGGGAGCTCATGGCCTCACCCCTGCTCCCAGCTCTTCCTGAAGGAGCAGCTGTACCAGGCGCTGGAGAGCAAGCGATGCCGTGCCCATCACCTGGCCGCGCTCACGCTGCAGCGCTACGCTCGCACGTTCTTCATCAAGCGGCGCTTCCGCTCCCTGCGCCGCAAGATCGTCCTCCTGCAGAGCCGGGCGCGGGGATACCTGGCCAGGTGGGGGCCCCTGGGGGTGGCGGGTGGGCACTGGTGGGTGGCAGAGGGTGACGGTGCCCTCCTGCAGGCAGAGGTACCGGCGCATGCGGCACACGCTCATCAAGTTCAGGTCGCTGGTGCACATCTACGTGAACCGCCGGAGGTACCTCAAGGTGAGCTGGGGTCCAGGGACACGCTGCCACCCTGCTGCATGTTCAGTGGTGGGTCTGAAGAGGACATAAGTGGCATCCCCGTACCGTGAGCCCACCCTATCACCTCCTCCATGTCCCATTGGGTATGAGCAGTGCCTTTTCGGCGTGAAAACTCTACTGATATTGGGGAGGGGTCAATGGCAACCCAGGGTGCCGTGATGCCTCAAGGTCTCCCTTCCTCTGGTGAGACTCAGCGTGGCTGCTCTGCTTGCAGAGGAAGGAGGATGCTCGCCGGCGGGCCGAGGAGGAGAAGGAGAGGATGAAACAGGTAAAGATGTGCAGCACTGCTGGGAGCACAGGTGTGATGCCTGTGCTGCCCGTGTTGCTGTGCCCTCATCCCTGCCCATCCCTGTGCTCCTGGCCGCGGCACCCGTGGGTGCTGGGGCAGGGACCGGCACACAGCATCCCTGTGCTGCGGCGGCAGGAGCTGACGCGGAGGGAGGTGGTGGATGTCACCCACCTGGAGATCCCGGCCGAGCTGATGGGGCTGCTGGAGGCCGCTGCAGGTGAGCGGGTCCCGCACCGCCATCGCTCCCAGCCCCTTGTCCCCCTCCCGACGGCCGTGCCGTAGCTTCCCGCTGTGCCGCAGCCGCTCGGGAGGTGAATGCCGGCTGCGTGGTGCTGGTGCCGCCGCCGGCGCTGCAGCCCGACCCCCAGCTCACCCTCCCGCTCGACATCAACGACTACCCCATGGCCAAGTACGTGCGGGGCCACTTCCAGGTAAGGTGGGCGCCGCGGGGAGCTTTTCCCGACGGGCAGACAGCTTTTGGGGAGTCCCTGGCACCCCGGTCATGGTGGAGCAGTGAGGTTCAGGGTCCCCGTGGTGGCTCCCCGCATTGTCCCACGGGGCTCTGCCCCGGCTCCCACCCTGGGGACACCACGCGTAGCAAGAGAGGCTGGATCCGGGGTGGCTGTGGTGCTGTGGGGAGCTGGCTGCCACCTCCCTCCCTCCCCGTGGGTTCCTGTCGTCTCCAGAGGCCGGGGGGACCCTGCTGAGGTTATCGGAGAGAGACCCGCTGAGCCCTCCTGGACGCCCGACGCGGGGCGGATCCGGAACGCTGGGGCGGGAGACCAGGTCGCTTTGTTCCCGGGACCCCGGCCCCACCCACGGTCACTTTGCCCCATTCCTCTTCCTCATCCCTATTTTTGCCCTGTGTTTCCCAGTCCCCGGCATCCTGAATGACAGCACCGGGGCTGGATAAGGCTCTCAGCCTTGCCAAGGTGTTGGCATAGAAACACAGAATGGTTTGGGTTGGGAGGGACTTAAAGGCCAACCAGTTCCACCCCCTGCCATGGGGGCAGGGACACTTTCCACTAGACCAGGTTGCTCCAAGCCCTGTCCAACCTGGCCTTGAACGTTTCCAAGGATGGGGCAGCCACAGCTTTTCTGGGCAATGTGTGCCAGGACCTCACCACCCACCTCTGGTGCTGCCAGCACAGCCTGATCCCCACCCTGCCCCACTCCCAGGAGGCTGCTGGCCCCATCCTTCACCCTTTGGCAGCCCCACAGGCTCCACCCAGCATCAGCACCATGCTCAGCACCATGGGGCCAGCCCCTCGTGGCCTGAGGCTGTCCCCAGGTAGCCATGGGTGCGGGTGTCACCGCAGGAACCGGCATTTGGGATGCTGACGGCCCCACTGAAAGCCCCCCTCACCCGGCTGGATGAGGAGCTGTGCCACGAGGCTCTCAGCCTCTTCCAGCTGGTAGGTGGGATGGCACAGGATCCATCACCGCAGTCCCCTGCCCGCTCTGTGCCCGGGTCAGAGGGAGGACCTGGCTGTCCCTGTGGCAGATCCTGCGGTTCATGGGGGACCCGGGGCTGGGCGGCTCACAGGAGACCCTCTTTGGCAACTACATCGTGCAGAAGGGGCTGTCAGTGCCAGGGCTGCGGGACGAGCTCCTGGCACAAGCTGCCAACCAGGTCTGGCGGAACACCAACGTCAACAACGAGGAGCGGGGCTGGCTGCTGCTGGCCACCTGCCTCAGCGCCTTCCCCCCGTCCGCCGCCTTCGACAAGTACCTGCTCAAGTGAGCTGGGGATGGGCTCTGGAATGGGGAATAGGGGATGGCTGGGACCCTCAGGAATAGGCTGGTGTTCATGCCTGGGAATACTGCTGGGCTTTTCAGGGCTCTCCTGGCACCTATGGCTGAGGATGCTGCCTAGGCCCCAGGTGGTTTCTCCACGATTGCTTGGGACAGCCTGTCACGCATGGCCAAGTCCTGTTGGGAATGCTCCGAGGTTCCTTCAGAATCCCTCTGGCCAAGATGGCCTATGTACCCATGTGCCTCTAGGTTCCCCAGGGCCAGCCTGGCACATGTGCCCAGGGATACTGGCCAAGTCCCGCTAGAGATGCTCTAAGATCCCTCCATGATGCCTTGGGCCAGCCTGGCACATGCAGCCAGGATGCTGCCGAGATCCCTCCAGGAATACTCTTAATCCCTCTGTGGTCCCCTGTCCCAACCTGGCACACATGATCCTGCCCACCTCCCTCCTGCAGCATGCTCCCTTCCCCACAGGTTTGTGTCTGACTATGCCTTTGCTGGCTACAAGCCCGTGTGCCAGCGCAAGCTGATGCACGCCATGGCTCGCTCCCAGCTGGGCACTGCGGCCGCCCGCACCTTCCCCCCCTCGCTGCTGGAGTGGACGGCGAACCGGCGGCAGGCCAGCATGGCCCTCGACCTGCACTGCTTCAACGGTGAGGGCAGCGTGGTGCTGGGGCGTGGTGCTGGCCAGGGTCGGTCCCAGCGTGACCACCCTCACGGGCAGGGGGGACTGGTGGCACCTGCTCACTGCTCGTCCCTCCCCAGGTGACCAATTCTCCTGCCCCATCCACTCCTGGAGCACAGGCGAGGATCTGGCGGGGGATGTCCTGAAGCTCAGGTATGTGCTGGTTTGCCACCCATCCACTCAGTGGGTCACAGTGTCACCTGGGGTTGTCTTCGGTGTCCCCAAGATCTGGGAGCCCGAATGCCCAGCTCATGGGCAGAGTGTCCCTGTGGAACCTGTGCCCATCCCCAGTGCCTGGCTGTTGGCAGAGGGCTGGCAGAGGGCTGGCGTGGCTGGACCGTGGCTATGAAGGCGGGTGCCCAGTGGGCTGAGCTGGCTGGGCACGACTATGTCCTGGACCTTGTCTCCGACCTGGAGCTGCTGCGGGGCTTCCCCAGACAGAAATCCTGCTTCCTCATCGCATGGGATGGGACTGAGAGCCACAGCAGGGACAGCCGGCCGTAGGTACCCGGGCAGGGATGGGTGCCCCACTCTGGTGGAGGGAACCCTGGCACCGAGCTGGATGGTTGCTGGTAGGGGCGGGTGGGCTCCTGAGGGGAAACCTGGCACCCAATGTGTGCTTGATGAGTGCATCCTCTCTCTCTGCAGGGTGCTGGGACACGGATTTGATTTGGATGAAGTGCCTCCACCCCCAGCTGTGAAAGCCCCCACACTGCCCTCCATGGAGGCGTATCACCCCCATGGTATGGCATCGTTCCCCCCAACTCCTGTCCCCCAGCGTTGTGACAAAGCCCTGCCATGCCAGTGGTTCATGCCTTGTCACTCACAGATGGGGAATCTGGGGAGCCACGCAGCCAGAAGGGTCTGGATCGGTACCTGGACAGTCTCTTTGACCCCGTGCTCTCCTACGGCAATGGGGTGAGAAGGGTGTCCCCCTACCCGACGCATTTTGGGGTGCAGGTGGCTTGGCCACTGCGCCCTGACCCCTGTCCCCCAGGAGCTGGAGAAGCCATCCATCCTCTCGCAGAGGCTGAAGGGAGGAGGTGGCGTGGGAGGGGGGGACAGTGGCACTGATGCCAACCAGAGCGAGCCTCCCGTGGCTGCGGAGACACGTCAGCCGAGGGGTGAGCACCTGAGCACTCCCACATCCCACCCAGCTCCCTGCCTCGATTTCCCTGTCTGTGGGGAACATCCCTGCACCCCAACATCCCCACAGCTCTGAGCTCTCTTCTTTGCTGACACAGACACAAAGCCAGACCCGTCCCCACAGCACCGGGCAGATGTCAACCAGCCACCCGGACCCTCGGTCAGTGCCACGGGGCCGGGAGGGGTCGAGCTCCTTCTCTGCCTCTCTGGGGCAGCCCCTGAGGATGGGAGCAGCTGGAGGTGCCAGCTGTTGATAGCCCTGTGTCCTTTGCAGGGCAGAGCAGCAGAGGGGACACCACCCCATGTCCCTCACCCCCGGCCCTACTCACAGAAAGCCGGTAAGGGATCCCGGTGTAATGGGGTGGCCACAGGGGCTTGTGGCACTGAGCCAGTGCCACTGAGCCGTGTGCTTGGCTCCGCAGCAGCCGTGGCCAAGCGGTGGCCGGGAGAGCCAGTGCGGCATTCCCGGCTCAACTCGGAGCATTTCCCGCGGCCCACGCACGACATCCGCAACATCATCCGGCAGTGCCAGCCAGCCCCGCGCAGCTCCCAGCCCCACAGGTACACCCGGGCCCCCAGCCAAGCCTCGGGCTTCTCCTGCCTGGGGCTGCTCGTGCTGGTCCTGATGCCGGGCTGTAGGGAATGATGGGGTGTAGGGAATGATGGGCTGTAGGGAATGATGGGATGCACCCAGTGGTGGAGCTGCAGGTGGTGTCAGGTACAGGGAATTTTGGGGTGCAGCTGATGCTGGGGTTCAGGTGATGCCGGGTGCTGTCTCGGCAGCAAGCTCTTTGGGAAGAAGCTGGACCCCCATGAGGAAGCCATGCAGATCCTGAAGGAGCAGCTCTCAGCAGCCCGGGTGCCATCAGCTGTGGTAGGGATGTGGCCATCCCTGTGTCCCCCTGATTGGGCTGGGGGTGTCACTGGCACTGACCACAGCCCCTCTGTGCCTCGCAGGGGCCCAAGGAGGTGGTGGCTGCAGTGAAGCCGGTGCCAAGTGCCAGGTACCAGCTGCGAACACCCCCAGGACGTCCTGCAGCCACACGGCCCCCAGGTATTGCCGGGCACAGCTGTGGCACTGGGGGTGGAGGAAGCCACTTTGCCCTGCCAGTGGCACGGCTGATGCCTGGTGGGATAACTGCTGTGTGCTGTTATCTCATCCAGAGAGCTGCTCCCCGTGCCTCAGTTTCCCCAGGTGGAGGCAGCTGTTGGTGGTTCCCCCTGGGGATTTCAAGGCTTTCTGCCCCTTTGCAGTCTTTGTCTCACGGGAGCTCCCGTCCGAGACGCAGCAGGTCCAGACCCAGCTGCACCGCAGCTGCAGCGAGGACTTCTACACCTACCACAACGTGCCCTGGAAAATATTCATCCGGAAGGAGGTGCACATTATGGGGACACTCGGGGACAGGTTGGTGCCAAGGTCCTACTGGGATAAAGGGGTTTACACCAAGCCCTGGTCTCTCTCCTGGCAGGTTTTCTACCCCAAGGACAGCATCAACAACCCACTGCTGCTCGACCTCATCTTCCGGCAGGTGAGGCACCGAGCTGGCCCCGCAGCCCCCCGGCGTCCCCTGGGAGATGGGGTATTCCCCAGTGGGGTGATGATTTACTCATCCCACTGTGGCCATCCTGCAGGGGAAGCCCTGCTGAGCTGCTGTGGAGGAGCTGGGGCTGTTGCCAGCTGGGGCTGGGGGGCTTTTTGCTCCTCCCCACACAACTCTCCTGCTCCTCACTCCCTTTCCCAGATCTTCAATGATGTGCTGTCTGACACCTGCATCAGGATCAGCCAGGAGGAGCGGCTCCGTCTGAAATCCCTCTTTGGTAACCCTGTGTCCTGCTGCTCCCTGCCTGGGGGCTCACACCCAGCCTGTCCTCATCTTCTGGGTATCTCCAAGCCAGGACTGGCTCTGCTTAACCCTGGGTCGTTTTACCTCCAAAAGCAACGACCCCTCTGTAATTTAGTGTTCCACAACATCACAAGTTGTGTCAGGTCTCAGCCAGCTGCTTGGGGGACACACATCTGTCTTTGGCATGGGAAGGGCACGAGCATCCCTGCTTTCCCTGGGAACTCTGTCCGCATCCTCTGCAGGGAGGGGGTGCTCACAGGAGGTATTTCCCCCTCCCCACAGCGGAAAACAAACTGGACTCCTTCAGCCCCGTGGCCACCGAGAATGTCAAGAGGGAGATTATTGCCGCAGCCCGGGATGGCTGCGAGGTTTATTTCTCCCGCCTCTTCCCTGCCACGGTGAGGGTCCAGCTGTGTGGCAGGCCAGCACGGGGGGCACTGTGTCACCGTGCCCCTCTGCTGAGGTGCTGTCCTGGCCCACAGGGCAGCGTGGGGACAGGTGTGCAGATCCTTGCCGTGTCCCACACTGGCATCAAGCTGCTGCGGGTGGTGAAGGGCACCAATGTCTCCGGGGAGCAGCTGCGGGTGCTGCGTGCCTACAGGTAGGGGTGGCCAGGGTGGGGTGGGTGCTGTGGGTGCCACAGAATGCCGAGTGTTTCAGCCTCCCCTCGCCCTGCCCCAGCTACCCCGACGTGCTCTTCGTGGCCACCCCATCCAGGAACATGCTGGAATTCAACCTGCGCAGCGAGAAGCTCATCCTCTTCTCCCCCAAAGCCCCCCAGGTCAAGGTCATGGTCGACCACTTCATCACAGAGCTCAGGAAGGTGGGGGTAGCCCTGGGGCCAGGGTGGGTTTGTCCTGGGGGTCAGACCCTGCCCGTGTGCCTGCGTTTGGAGAGCTGGGATGGGCAGAGGAGGGCACCCTATGAATGAGACAGTGGCTGGATTTGTGGGAATGGTCCTGAGGCTGTGGGTGCTTGAAGCCCCTGTGATGGGTGGGGTGTGGGTGTCTCTACATGGGCTGTGCCAGACCCCCTGTGCCCAGGACTCCCAGTATGTGGTGGCCGTGAGGAACTACAGCCCGGAGGACAGGGGCCAGCTCAGCTTCCACAAAGGGGACATCATCCACCTGCAGTCACTGGAGCACCCTGAGAGAGGTGAGGGATCCCCAAAGCCCCCCCCCCATGCCAAAATGCCTTTGATGGGGGGCACAGGGGCAGCAGACTGATGGCTTGCCCTGCCCTGGAGGTGGCTGTGCTCTTGCCTTGCATCCTGTGACACCCCATGTCCCCATGGTGTCCCCATGGTGTCCCCATGGTGTCCCTGCAGACCACTACTACGGCTGTGTGGTCCGCAAGAAGGTGATGTACCTGGAGGAGCTGAAGACAGACACCCAGGATTTTGGTGGGTGCCACACTGTCCCTGTGTGTGTCCCTGCTGTGCACTGAGCTGTATACCCTCCTGAGTCTGGGGCACAGGGCAGGGTCCTGCCTCTGTCCCCCCTCAGCAGTTTGGTTTGGGGTCTTTTTGGCACTGACTTGCTGCAGGGAGATGCTCTCCTGCAGGTCCCACCCTGGCGCCACCCATGTCCCTCAGGTGACAGGCTTTGTGAGCCCTGTTCTGTACCTTTCCTTTGAGTGATGCCAAACTGAAGCTGCTTCCAGGCAAAACCCATGACCAGATCCCTGAAAAGGGCTGGGGGTGCAGAGGCAGGAGGGACCAGGCAGACAATTTTAGGGGTGACCCCGTGGTTGCCAGCCCGGGGCCATCCCCACCATCTGTCTGGCACAGGGTGGAAGTTTGGGGCCATCCATGGCAGGTCAGGGCTCTTCCCTGCCGAGTTCGTCCAGCCCGTGGCGGCGCCCGACTTCGTCCATTTGCCTGCGGAGAGAAAAGAGGAGCCCAGGGACAAGCAGGGCAAAGTGGCAGCTTCGGCAACCGTGGCTGTGGCCGTGGCCTCCACTGCTGCTGCCCAGGAGCTGGACAGGAAAACCGAGGTGGGTCCTGGCCCTGGGCGGTCCCCTGGTGCTGGCTGTGCCCGGTGCCCACTGCCCCGCTCTGCAGGTGTCCCCAGCCAGTGCCATCTGTGTGGAGGGTCTGGAGGGAGATGGTGTGGAGCAGCTCAGGGATGTCACCGGGGCCTGTCCCATGCTGGCCTTTGCCCAGCGGCATTTCCGTGCTGCACGACGTGGGACCACGTGAGTGTCCAGCGGTGGGACAGGGACATGCCATGGTGGGGACACCTGTGCCCACCTGCTCCCTTTGTCCCTCTGCCAGGGACTCCCGTGGGATGAAGGTGCCAAGTGTGCTGGAGATGCTGACGTTCACCAAGGTATAGGGAAGGGCAGTCCTGGGGTGCCCTTGTCCTGCTGTCACCTGCAGGTCTCTTTGCAGTCCCAGCAGGGTCCCAGAGCTGGCCCTCTCCCCCTAGATTCCTATTCAGGAGTCACTCATTGAATTTGTGGATGGTGGCCTCAACAAATTGGCTGCTGAAGTTTTCCAAGGTAGGCAGGGATACGAGTGTCCTGTCCTCCCTCGTCCCTCAGCCATCCCCAGCCCTGTCCTTGGAGGAGGGTGGGGCTGGACTGGGATGGGCAGAGGGGGTGTCCTAGGGGAGTTTAGCTCTGGTCCCACTGCTCCATGTGCCCAGGATGTGTCTACCCAGGAGAGCATGTCCCTGGGAAAGGGACATGCTGAGCTGTGTCACCGTGTGGCTTTGTTGTCCCCAGCTGTGATGAAGTTCATGGGTGACCACCCCCTGCGGGGTCAGACAGAGCTGGACGCCGTCTGCACCATCCTCAAGGTAAATCCATCACTGGGGTGGTGAATCCTGGGCAGGGGGTGGCAGAGAGGTGGCAGCTGTGCCTGTCCCCCAGCTGTGTGCAGAGCACGAGGTCCTGCGGGATGAGGTGTACTGCCAGATCATCAAGCAGATCACCAACAACACCAGCTCCAAGCCGTGAGTCCCTACACCCACGTGGGACAGTAGAGGCTGGCACTGGGACACTTGTGTCCCCGAGCTGCTCCAGCCTGGGGGGACACGCAGGGACCTCATCCTTGCAGAGGGTTGTGCTGGTTGCCACCACAGGCACCCTGGCCCTGCTTAGGGGATCAGCCCTGGCTGTTCCCACAGGGACAGCTGCCAGAGGGGCTGGAGGCTGCTCTACATCCTCGCTGCCTACTACAAGTGCTCTGAGGTGCTCCGGCCGTTCCTCGTGGCCTTCCTGCAGGATGCCAGCAGGCACCCGGAGCTGCCTTTCCACGGTAGGGGCTGTGCACACCCCAGGGTGCTGGGTGCACGGTGGGGAAGGACACCCCAGGTGTCACAGAGCTCAGGAGGAGCTCTAACAGAGCCAGTGTGGCAGCTCAGCCCCTTCCTTCATCCCAGTCCCTGTTCCTGCCAGGCATCGCCAAAGCCTGCGAGCAGAACCTGAGGAAAACCCTGCAGTTCGGTGGCCGCAGCCTCTTCCCCAGCAGCATGGAGCTCAAGGCCATGGTGGTGAGGCCAGCGGCTCGTGGGTGCTGGTGGGGTGGAACAGGGCTGGTGTCAAAGTGAGAAACTCCCCCCAGAAGTTCTGGGTACCCACATGGGGTCAGGTTGCCCTTGTGGGGTTGGGATCTCCCTCAGACATCACCCTGGAACAGATATCATTCTTTTTGAGGCTCTTCCCAAGAGTGCACAGCCCTGCTTAGGGTCTGCTCTTCAGCACTTTGGGGGTACCTTGAGCCTTCAAGGGTCCTCAGTGGGCATGGAGCTCTGTGGACGTGGAGTGGGGGCATGATGGTTCAGCTGGATGGGATGGGCAAGAGACAAGATGATCCAAATGGGATGGTTCCTTAGGGATAGCTGCAGGATTTGGGGTGTCCTGTGGGTCTCTGCTGTGTGAAGGACCCCCCTGCACCCCAATATGTCCTTCCATGCAGGCCGGGCGCAGCGCCAAGCGCCAGCTCTTCCTCCTGCCCGGTGGCATCGAGAGACACCTCAAGATCAAGACGTGCTCGGTGAGCCAGAGGGGACAGGAGGCTCAGTGCCCCTCAAGATTATGGTGACACCTCAGTTTTGTTCACCCAGAGGGTGTGGATATGGGGGGGATACACCCTTTGGCTATCCCTGCTGTGGGACTTCATCCTCTGGGAAAAGCAGATCATCACTGGGATGAGCCTCAATGCAGGACAAAAGTCGGTGGCCCAGAGCACAGCAGTGCTCCAGCCACCTGTCCCTGTGCCTAGGTGGCTCTGGATGTGATCGAGGAGCTGTGCTGTGAGATGGGGCTGCAGAATCCAGAGGCTTTGGAGGAATACATCCTCTTCGTGGTGACCGACAGAGGTGAGGAGCTGTCAGGGATGGGACAGGACGAGACAGGATGGGACAGCCATGCAGGTGGTGTGGTGGCCACACTCAGACTCCTGGGTGGCACAGGGCAGAGTGTGCGGCCACTGACCCGCCGGGAATACATCCTGGATGTGGCTGCCGAGACGGAGCTCCAGGACACCAGCTACACCTTCTGGTGCCGCCGTGTGGTCTGGAGCCAGCCCCTCAAGTTCGACAACGAGCTCTACGTCACCGTCCACTACAACCAGGTCGGGCCACCCCATCAGCCTCCCCCAGGGCCACCTCCCTGTCTCCCTCAGAGCGTGCCCCATCCCCAAGCGTGTCCCTGTGCTCTGTCCCCCTCCCCAGGTGCTCCCTGACTACCTCAAGGGGCTGTTCACCGTCCTGCCGCCGGCGAGGCCGGGAGAGCAGCACTTCCCGCACGTGGCCAAGCTGGCCGCCCTCCAGCACCGAGCCAAGGACCGCCACCACCTCCCCACCGCGTATGGCAGGGGACAGGGCACCTGGGGGGGGGGGGGGGAAACACCTGTCCCGTGGGATTTGGGACCCAATGGCCAGCGCTGGCCCTGACCTGGGGCTCTCCACAGGCGGGAGATGCAGGACTACGTCCCTCCGCAGCTCTTCCGCCTGCTGAAGCCGCAGTCCTGGCTGCAGATGGTGACCCAGCATGTGCAGCAAGCCCAGGCACTCAGCGCCCACCAAGCCAGGGCACAGTTCCTGGGTGAGGGGACAGTGATGGGGACGGAGAGGTGACATTCACAGGGAGAGGATGCTGAGAGGATGCAATGCTAATGAGGACATAGTGCTAATGAGGATGTAATGCTGCCTGGAGGGTGATGATGATGGGGATGGGATGCTGCCAGGACAGGCAGCCCTTGTCCCTGCACACAGCCTAGGAGGGCAGGAGGGATTGGCAGGACAGGACAGGCTGCTTGCAGGACCCACTTAGGGCACCCATTTCCCTTGGCTGGTCCTGGGTGCAGGCCACCCTGGGGACTGGGCGGATGGGGGTGGCAGCAGCCACTGAGACCCCGTCCTCTGCCCTGCAGGGCTGCTGAGTGCCTACCCCATGTTCGGCTCGTCATTCTTCTACATCCAGAGCTGCAGCAACAACGCCATCGTTTCGCCCTGTATCCTGGCCATCAACCAGAACGGCCTCAACTTCCTCAGCAAGGAGACCCACGTAAGTGTGGGGCTGTGTGGGACACGTGGAATCATGGAATGGCTCAGGCTGGAACAAACCTTAAAGCTCATCCAGTTCCACCCCCTTGCTGTGGGCAGAGACACCTTCCACAAGAAGCTCTGTCCAAGCTGGGATCCCTGGTCCCCTTGGAGGGGTTCCCAGGGCACACTGGCTACCCCCCTGTCCCCCTCCCAGGAACTCATCGCCAAGTTCTCGCTGAACGAGATCCAGTCCACACGGACGCAGCGGCCGACGGCTGGATCCAGTTATCCCTATGTGGAGATCACACTGGGAGACCTCCTGGCCCAGGGCATCACCCAGCTGCAGCTGGAGCAGGTCAGGGACACTTGGGGACATCGCGGGGGGCTCTCACAGGGGCGGCACGGTCACTGACCACCGGTGTGTCCCTCTCCAGGGCCTGGAGCTGTGCCGCGTGGTGGCCGCGCACATGGAGAGGCTGCTGGGTGCCCGGGAGAAGAGGCTGACGCTGCCGCCCAGCGAGATCACCCTGCTCTGAGCCCGCCACGGCCTCGGACCCCCGGCACCCCGGACCCCCGGCATGGGGGACACAGGGTGCAGCGACCATGGGGTGTCCCCAGCGTGGCCAGAGGCCGCTGTCCCCCCGTCACCAACCTATTGTTGTTCTGGGGTTTATACATGCCCGAGAGCTCGGCATGACTCAGTGTCTGTGGTTTTGTGTTGCGCTCGCTTTGTGTTGCAGGGGAGATGCTGCCCTCCGTGTCTGATTCCCCATCAATCACCATGTGCTTCCTATTCCCGTGCCTCAGTTTCCCCCATCCATCCCAGTGCCTCTGTCCCCATCCCGGTGTCTCAGTTTTCCCCACCGATCTCCGTGTCTGTTTCCCCATCCTGGTGCCTCAGTTTCCCACATCCATCCCAATAACTCTGTCCCCATTCCGGTGCCTCAGTTTCCCCTCCATCCCGCCCGTGCCTCAGTTTCCCCGTGCCCCTCTTCAGTCACTCCCGCCCGCCTATCGCGCTCACCGCGTCCGCCAGGGGGCGCTGGCGCCGCGCGCCCGCCGCCACCTCCTGGCCCCTCTCTCCCTGCCGCCGCCGCGCGCGCGCGCTCCAACCACCCAATCAGCCGCCGGCCCGCGGCGCTCGCGGCCGCCCCCCGGCCAATCAGCGCCGCGCAGGGCGGGGCGGGGCGGGGCTGCCGCTCCCGGTTAACGGCGCCGGTGAGCGCGCGCGGGGGGGCGGGGTCGAGTCGTGCGTTCTGTCCGTACGTACGCGAGAGGGGCGGGGCCGAGGGCGGTGGCGGCGCGTGCGCGGCGGGGCGGGGCGTGGGGCGGCCCCGCGGCGATCCGGGATGTCGGGCCGGCTCCTGGTGACGTAGCGGGAAGGGCCGCGCCAGACCCCCGCCCGCCGCTGTCCCCCGGCACGGCACGGGACCCCCCACACCTCCTCCGGTTGTCCCCCGCCATGGGCAGAGCCGCGGCGGTGGGAGAAGGCAGGGCGTCCGGAGCCGCCACTGGGAATGTGCCAGGCCCTGCCGCCGCGTGAGCACCGGCACCGGCAGCGTTGTCCGCGCCCGCCCCGGGCCGAGCCGTGAGTGTGGTGTCCGCCGGGCCGCCCCTGCCCCGGGAGGGAGGGAGAGGGCGGGAGCTTTGCTCGCCGGGAGCAGAGTCGTATCTCCGGTGGACGAGGGGGCGGGAAAGGGTCTGGCGCGGTACCGGGATCCCGTGCTCACCTCCCCGTCCTGCGGGGCTCTCTCTCCCGGCAGGGCGGCGGGTGCCATGAGCAGCAGCTGCGCGTCCCCCGCCGCCGCTCGCCGCCGCCTGCAGCGCCGGGATCGATAGAGGCGGGGGCTGCGGACGCGCCATGGCCGGCAGCGGCTACACGGACCTGCGGGAGAAGCTCAAGTCCATGATGCCCTACCGGGACGGCCACAAAGGCGGCGGCGGCGGCCTCCCGCGGGAGCCCCCCGAACCCCCGTACGACCGCAAGCGGCGGCACCAGGAGGACTCCGACTCCGAGCCCAGCGACTACGAGGAGCAGAAGGAGGAGGAGGAAGCTCGGAAAGTCAAGAGCGGCATCCGCCAGCTTCGCCTCTTCAGCGCCGAGGAGTGCGCCAAGATCGAGGCGCGCATCGAGGACGTGGTGTCCCGGGCGGAGAAGGGGCTCTACAAGGAGCACACGGTGGATCGGGCACCGCTGCGGAACAAGTATTTTTTCGGGGAAGGCTACACCTACGGGTCTCAGCTGCAGCGGCGAGGCCCCGGCCAGGAGCGCCTGTACCCGCGGGGGGAGGTGGATGCCATCCCCGAGTGGGTGCACGACCTGGTGATCCGGAAGCTGGTGGAGCACCGGGTGATCCCCGAGGGCTTTGTGAACAGTGCCGTCATCAACGACTACCAGCCGGGGGGCTGCATTGTCTCCCACGTGGACCCCATCCATATCTTTGAGAGGCCCATCGTCTCCGTGTCCTTCTTCAGCGACTCGGCGCTCTGCTTCGGGTGTAAATTCCAGTTCAAGCCCATCAGGGTGTCGGAGCCCGTTCTGTTCCTGCCCGTGAAGAGGGGGAGTGTCACGGTGCTCAGGTAACTCGGCCGCGTTGCCGAGGCTCCGCTGAGGAGCCGGGGCCCGGTTGTGTAACGCGGATCACGAGGCGCACGGATGCGCGCCCCGACGGCGCCTCGGGCTCCGTCTGCCTCGGCTGAAGGCGCTCAGGGGTTCGCTCTGGTGGAAGGGGTGAAGCGGGGATCTGGGGGGGGTCGTGCCGTCATGGTGGGTGAGGATTGGGTGGGTGCCCCCTCCACGGGGCTTGAGGTGAATGCTGGTGGGAGCGTGGCATTGAGTTCCTGTAAATGGTTAAAATAACACGTCCAGACACAAAATGGATCCTTTGCCCAAGAGTGGTCAGAGCGGAGCAGCTGGTGGGGTCGGGGCTCCTGGGTCTATTCTTAGCTCGGCCGGTGCCTCTGACCTGACCTTAATCGTGGAGAAGAGGTGTGAACGGCCTCGTCTTCCCAGTCTGTGAACTGGGAACGCTGAGCCCTCCCCTGCCCGGTGACGATAGGGAGACCAGAGTGCAGAGCCCCGCGTGATTGTCTCTTGGAAGTGCAGCGGGTCACGGGCACAGGAAAGGACTCTGCGTGTGTTGAGGAAGAGCCCTGGAAGGTGGAATGACCTGCCCAAGGTCACTCACTTGGTCGGCAGTAAAGCTGGGATTGGCACCGGGAAACGCTTCCTTCCTAATCCCGCCGCCTCCTGGTACGGGCTGGGAGGGGGAGCGGACAGGTGAGGGGACAGGCAGGTAAGGGGACAGGAAGGGTTGGAGCATAGGGATCCTGCTGGTGTCCAGCTCAAAGCCTGGCCCCGGGACTGCCAGTGCCTTGTGTCCCTGAAGGTCAGAGTGCTCCCTGGCAGGAGCAGGGATCTCCGGGACTCTGCCAGCAGTGCTACCAGCTGTATCCTCTTTTTTGGGGGTGGTTTTTTTGGACTGGTGAAGGTCCAGGCCGGTTTTCCGGGCTCCCAGGCAGTAACACAATCCCTTGCTTTGGCTTGTAAATTGATCGCCGCAGGGTTCGGGAAGGAATTTTTCCCCCCACAAACACACGGCCTCCTTGACTGGTGCATCAATAATAAATGCTGAGATCTTGCGTAGCTTTTATCACGGAAAAGCTGCACAAACATTAACTAATCCTCGCCGTACCCCAGTGTTAGGTAACTTGTGTGGATTAGCCAGGGACGAGGGAGGCTGCAGAGGGAGTTTGGAACAGCGCTGAGGACATTTTCTCATTCTCTGGTGGTTTGACGGGGCTCAGGGGGCAGAGGTCAGGGTGATTTTGTGAAATGGGACCCAAGGGGACCCATCTTGCCTTGTATCTTTTTACTGCAGAGCAAGTTCCATCCCCAGGGATGGAGACTGCTGAGTGTGAGGTTGTTGTTCTGCTCCCTGACTTCTCTGAGATACCAGGAGGGGAAACTTTCTACCCTAATTTTCCTGCTGGTGATGTGAACCCCTCTTCTGCCTTTCCTTGTCAGGCCTGGATAAATAGTTGTCCCTCCTTTTACAGCCAGAGCCCTTCTTTTTTAAAGACGGTGAAAGTTTCATCCTGCTTGGAAGTATTCTGGCAGAGCTGCTAATGCAGGGTCAGCCTCAAGTCTTGCAGTCAAAGCCTCTTGAAAAACTCTGGAGGAGGATCTGCAGTGGAGGATGGTGGGAGGAAGGAGAGATGCCTTCTCTGCTCCAGGACCAGAGAATGAGGTTTTCTTATTTCCTTCAAAATTGCTGGGAAGAGGCTGCTGGCTCTGGGCTCATGGAATTGAGTGAGGTGTCTCTCAGGGGTGTTTGGGTTGTTGGCCAGTGTCACTCAGGTGCTGTATTCAGTTTGTTAATGTGGCTGAAGCAGTCCTACAAATCAAATGAAGATATCTAAGATATCTTTTCCCTCTAAATCCAAAGGCTCGTTTCTGACTCACCCACTGCAGCTTGATCAAGGTCAGATGTTCTGCGATCCAGCAAATAATAGACTTTAAAACAGGGATTATTTCAAATTCGGTACAGCAGTTAGCAGGTACTTTACACTCACTTAAGAGAGATTCTGCCGAAGTGATTGTTCTGCGTTGATAGGATCCTGGCTGGAATCAATTCCTTGCCTCACAGCACATCTCCTGGGCCCTCATCTAACCCCAGAAATCAGGAGAAGTAGGAGAGGTGCAGTCCGTGCTCAGGGGCGTGTCACCAAATCCAGCCCTTGGTCATGACTAAGTCAACTCCCCAAACTTGGCATTTTCTGCTTGGGTAAACAGCTGCTGGAGGCAGTTGCCCTGGAGATGGGGAACGGGCACAGATAGAGGTGGCATGCCTGCAATGTCTGGGATTCAAATCCTGCTGGGTCAGTGGCTGCTCCTGGCGTGCAGCCTTTCCGGGGTAGCCGCGTGTGTTCAGGGGCTCTGTGGAGGTCACAAGGATCTAAAGGAAGCTCTAAAGTTGGACCCCTCTCTTTGACCCCACAGCGCTCTCAGGCTGGCCCCAGATTGTTCCTGTCCTGTTCCTGCTCCTGATTTCATAGCTGCCGACCCAGTAGGGATTTTACAAGAGGGGCTTTCCCCGTTTCCTTCGCTTGACTTTGTTTGCTTGCCCTGAAGCAGGATGTGGTGTTTGCCAACACTGAACCTGCCTCAGACTCCTTGGAAAGCTTTCAGACCTCAAACGACAGGTGAGGTGGAACAAGATTCACGTGGCTGGGCTGTGCCCCCTCTGCCAGAAAGCAAAGGCTGAGCCACCCCCTGAGCTGCTAATGAGCCCTTCCCTTCTCCCAGCAAGGCCCTTTCTCCTCTCCTGTCACATCTACACGGAAGATTTGCTCTTGTAGGTTTTGAGGTCTAGATTATGACCTCTTCCATTCCACTGTTCTCCCACAGCCCTGGGAAAGCAGGTGCTCCTGCAGGTTTGTCCCAGTGGCAGCCAGGCCAGGAGGAAGCATCAGCTGAGTGTGTGCTGCTGGATCTCAATCCTGTGACCCATCAGCTCCCGGGGAGGGGCTGCTGACCTCACCACGTTTGTGGGTTTTTCTTATTTTTACAATAATTTGGTGAGCACCAATCGATAGAAGCAGTGGGAGGGAGATGAAGGAATTTGCCTTTTCGTCTGGGGAACGTGTGCTTTGAGAATGCTTGGGCTGGGAAAAAGGGAGGGAGCAGGGGATGTGTGTGAAGCCAGCTGGGAGGGGGGTTCCAGGTGGATCCCTGCCCTGCAGCTGCTGTCATAGGAAGCAAATCTCAGCACTGAAACTACCAGGTACGTTGTCTGAGCATTGGAAAGAGTGCAGCTGGAGGAAGGAAAGGCACAGGTAACATTTCCCAAGTTCCCAGAGCTTGTGCCATAAGGGCTTCCCTCCCACAGCTGGAGAGTGCTCCAGGTCGTCTCCTGGCTGTTTGTAATGGCAGGAGAATGCTGTGATGTGTGTCCCTCCTGTGCCTGATGGAAGCATAATCAGAGCAGGTTGGAGTCGCTGGAGGATGAACCTCCTTCCTTCCCAGCTGGAGGAATCTCTCTGCAGCTGTCTGCTCCAAAATAGCCTGATCCCTCAGAACAGGCTGGTGGTGCAGAGGAAGTTCCACGTGTGCCAGTGGTGATGAGGCAGAGATTTGTTCAAGCTTTTCTTCTTAGAGTCTGTAGAACTTCAAGGCTTCTTTTCTGGTGATGTTTGCACAAAAATACCTACTTTTATCTCTGTGTGAATCAATTCTGGCTCAGCAGCAGCCCTTCTGGATGGCAAAAGAGACTTAAAGAAGAGTTGGAGATGTAAGGTTTGACAGGTTAGGTTGGGGGTGGGGTTTTGTTTTGGTGTAGTGTGTGGAAAACACCAGCACTTCCCCATATTCTTCTGGAAAATGCTCTGGGATGGAGATGTCACACTCGAGTGTTCTCATGGGCAGGAATTTTTCCTTCCCAGGTTACTTTGGGTTTGTTCTCTGGGCAAGAAGTCTGTGGGTAGATCCTTGATGTCTTTATGGATGTTTTTCTTCAGGTTCTGCCCCTTCACCCATCCTGAGGGTGTGCAAGGCTGGGCAGTGGGTGAGAAGTTTATGCTGGCACAAGGCAGCACAAGTATAACACAACCAAATAATAATTTTCTTTCATTTCTCTGCCTGTGCAGAGGCACACCATCACTGTATATGATACAGTACAAACAGAGTTTTTCCACACCAGTTTGGCACTGGGGCCAGACTGGTGTGTCCCCCTTAGGGCCTCAGACTGGAGTGGTGGGGCTGTTGTTTGATGCTGCCTGTGTGCATCTGGGACCACAAACTTGGTGGTGCCACTCTGTGATCTGGAAAGGGGGATCCTGCCTGGGGAAGGAGTGGAAAGGAAGATTCAGGCTGATAGCTCGTGGTGGAGAGAGCAGGTCTGGAATCAGACCTTTCCCTGGTGTTCAGGGTGCTGCTGAGGATGCTGAGTTGAATGCTAACGTGGGTGATATTCATGAATTCACTGGAGCTTGACGCAGAGATTCCAGGAACATAATAGAGCATCATCACAAGCCCCTTGGCACAGCACTGTCGTGTTTTGCAATGCCTGGAGCACGGTGGGGATGGACACCACCCCTGCTTTAACTGGTCAGGTCTTAGAGTTTTAGCTCTCCTGGCAGAGCAGTAAATCTGTGTATGAGGAGTGTTTCTAGGTGAGTGGGTGGGTTATCTAACCAGATCAAGGAAACCCGGTCCTGTCCCCAGAGAAGACTTGTGTGTGTGAGCTCTGTTCTGTGCTCAGGGTGTCCTGAATAACCTGCCAGCCCCTGACCCTGCCCTGCCAGCAGTGGCACAGAAAAACCTTGTGGGGATGCTGGGCCTGGTGATTTCTGCTTCAGGCTGGGTGTGCAGGCTTGAGCAGCCTTTGCTCCAGTGCCTTCCAAGGTGTTCCTTCCCTTGTTGGGTGTTTCAGGAAGCTCCGGAGATGTTCAGCTTCTCTTTTCCCCATGCTGGGCTCCAGAAGGCTCTGAGTGAGCTGACACTCTCCAAACTGCAGGTAGAGGGCAGGCCCCACCGCCGGGATGTGCTGCTCACACCCTGCAGGGATGGGATGTGCTCCCAGCATGGTTGGTGTGTCAGAGCAGGTGTGGTAGCTGCTCTCCACGGACCCACCGTGATTTCTCCCGCTGTGCTGGACACAGGAATCCAGCTGAAAACAGAAGCAGCCATGAAGAAATTCTCCAGTGTGTTGTGAGAAGCTGGGGCTGTCCTTGGCCGTGGCTTTGCTCCAGCCTGCTGAAAAATGTGGAATATCTGGAGTCAAACACTCCTGCTGACAACAGCTACTGCTTGAGCCTGGGTTTTTCCTCAGCCCAGGCAGCTGTTTCACCCTGCTACAGGGAGGTTTACAGCAGTGCAGCTTGATTTGCAGGTCTGAATTTGTAGGTTAGCCCGTGGATACTTAGGGCTGGTGATGTTCTTGTGGCAGCTGAGGGTGTGCCATTTGATGAGGAGGATGATGAGGTGTCTGTGCTCAGGGAAAGGGGCTGAGAGGCTCAGCTCTTACCATGACTGCACCCCTCTGTGACTAAAAAACCTCCTTGATCTGTTACATGTTTGGGTCTGGGTGTGCTGCACATCTGAGCTGTGAGAGATGGCTTTTCTCATAGGCATGTTTGGAGATGATGCTTTGGAGGAATGTACTCATTTTTTCCCCCATTGCTTTCTAATTTCTCCATAAATTAATGGCCTGAATCTACAGTTCTACATTTCTACACGTTTTATTTCACAGTGCTGCAGCAGCTGGCAGTTTCCTCTGGGTTATGCTGGAAAATTGAGTTATGAAACCCCCCCCAAACCCCCTGAGTGTCCTCATTCTTTCCTGATGTTTGTTCCTTCCAGTAAGTCTAGCTCCTGTGTGCCTGAGGGGTGGTGTTTGGAGGAGGAATTCCTGGTGGAAGTTAGGAAGTACTGGCCAAACTGAGTTGTTGAGGCTGGAAACCACTTTCTCCTTTTCCCTGGCATCTCCCTGACGGTGGCTTTTTGTTTCTGTTGTCAGTGGGTATGCGGCTGACGAAATCACACACTGCATTCGACCACAGGACATCAAGGAGAGGAGAGCTGTCATCATCCTCAGAAAGTAAGTGTTGAAGCCCTCCAGACAGCAAGATAAACGTGCATGTGGAGTCATGATAGTTAAACACTTGGAAAGTGCCTTGCTTGTTAATTTGCTGGCTTGATTTACACCTTGATTAGGTGTCACTCTGACGCTCACTCGTGTCTTGCCTGGCAGTGGAAGTGGCTGGAACCTGTTCCTGCAGGGTTCATCACTTCTTAGCTCTGTGCAGCAGCCCTTCATTGTCATGTCAGGGGTTGCAAGCCCTGCTGGTGCCATGGCTCCAAACACCTGGGATATCAAACTCTTGTTTTGGGCTGTGTGTTCACGTGTCTGGTCACATGTGTGAGTTACCTGATGCTTGTGATGAAGAATGTCCTATGAAGCAGAGAAAGTTTTCTTGGTATCATGGCTTTTGTTTCCTGGGGAGAGAGGAAGACACTGGCTTTGGAGGGAAACACGTAGAGAGTTCAATGCTCCTTACAGAGCTTGTCCTTCAAGTCTGTGTTGGGAAGCCAAGCTCCTTAAGCTGTTTTAGAAAGGGACTTCCTGTTCTAGAAGAGCACTCTTGATGGCATTTCATCAATCAGTGCTTGTTCCTAAAGATCTTAAGAAAATGGAGACGAAGTAAACTAACCCCACCCCAAAGTTCCTCAGTAAAACCTTCTTTTCTGCCTAGAAATGTCCTCTCCTCAGTTCCTTCTACTAGGAGACCCAAAAATGTGACTGCCACACCTTGACCCCTGCTGACTGTGCTTTGGAAGGTGTTAGCAGCAATTTTGCTGTCAAGAAGTGTCTTTGTAAATGAAAATACACAACTCTGAGTCCTGTAAACCCAGCCAAAAACGTGGGCATTGGTGGTTGTGGCCCAGGCTGGCATAAGGCTCGCAGGCAAGCGGTCTGGATTCAGACTGGATGAGCTTTTGGATGGCTTAGTTGATTTCAAAACAAGTCTGGCAACATTATGAGGATATGGCACAAAGCCAGTGGAGTGGAGTTGGACATCTGGTTAGAGAAACCCATGGAATGAAGGCAGGAAAAACAGCAGCCCTGAGGCATTAGCCAAGCAAAATCAGCCCAGACCCAGGGAGGCAGGATGAGATGTGGCAGGAGATAGAGTGGGATGAAAGGCAGGCTGTAGCCAAACCACCCCACAGCTGAGTATGGCCACGTGAGGTTTGGGGAGAGAGGTTGTGATAAGAACTTAGGGCTGTTGTGTTGATGGTGTTGGAGCAGCCAGGGGAAAGCAGCACAAGTGCTGACAAGGAGGCATCTCCAAGTCTTGTAGCTGCTTTGGTTGGACTTGGGCAAAGAGAAGGTGCCTGGTCTAGGTTGTGGAGCAGTTCCCTCGAAAAGACAGGCTCAGATAAATAAGCTAAAGCTGCCCAAAGTGGTGCAGATATTGAATGTTCCTGTTTAATCTGGCTCTGCCTCTTGCTTTCTCCAGCCTTGCTAAGCTGAGCGTGTTGGATTGTTTCAGTCAAGCCTGACTTCCCTCAAAGTGCATCTGGGCAGGAAGGGACCTTAAACCTCACCTCATTCCAACCCCTGCCGTGGGCAAGGACACTTTCCACTAGACCAGGTTGCCCAGAGCCCTGTCCAACCTGTGCTTCTCTGGGCAACCTGTGCTAGTGCTTCAGTGCTCTCTGAGTAAAAGATTTCTTTCAAATATCTAATTTAAATCTTCCCTCTTCTCTTATGATCATCTCCCCACGTAAAAAGTTGCTGTCTGTGTTTTTTATAAGCCCCCTTAAAGTCCTGGGAGGAGCAGTGAGGTCTCCCTGGTTGTACCCAGCTGACCTGGTGCATTCCTGCTGAAGGGACAGAGCCTGTACTCTGCTGGCTTTGTTTACTCATCCACCCTGATTTTTGGGGCCCACTTTGCTTTATTGCAGAGCAGAAGTGTCTCTGCCCATCAGAGAAGCCAGATGAAACCACACCAGGATTTTTCTCTCGAGCAAAGCATAAAATCCCCTGGTAATTATTTCTGCGTAGCCTCCGTGGCTGTGGTGAATCCTTGGCAATATTTACCAAAGGCTGCGCTGTGATTGTTGCCAAAGAGTTTATTAATTGCTGCTTATCCCTGGCCACACCTCCCTGTGTCCCCTGTGTGTCCCTGGGCCACCAGGGCCCAATGCCATTCCTGATCCCTGGATCCCTAGGATCATGCCACTTTGCCTGGAACAGGGTGTTGTGCAAGCAGGAAAAGAGCTGCTTCCGCTGCTGGGCTGTGAGCACGAGAGGCTCGGGAGCAGCCAGCCTCATAAAACTCCTCTTCCTCTTTTTCATGGTGAGGATCAGCCCTGAGCTTTCCTGGTCAGATCAGTTGGATCACCCCAGTTGGAGCTGGGATATTCAGCTCTGAATTGTGCCAGAGTCTGCTGGGTCCAAGACGTTTGAGTCTGGCTCTGCTCTTGTCTCTGCTCTGAGTGTGTTTTTGCTGACAGCAGCAGGAGAAGAAAGCTGTGGGAGCTGGAGGAGCCGGTGGGGTTTTGCAGGATTCTCCGGAGCAGCGTGGTTACCAAGCAGGTCATAAACACTTCAGTGCTCAGTGTTTCCTGTGTGTTGGATCACAGGGCTGCCGGGAGCCAGCGGGGTTTGGAAGTGCTTTGAGCCAGAGGAGGGGAGGAATGGTGCTCTCAATTTATGAGATGATGGGAGAGGTAACGTGGGAGGTGGGTATAGAAATGAGACCTATTGAACCAGGTCTTCAAAGCAAATTTAGAGGCTTTTGCTGCCATTCTGTTTTCACTCTCATAAATCGAGTTTATCTATTTAAGTAGGTACATTGTTTTCCGTTTTATTGTCACCTCTCCTTGTACCTGGCCAGAAGAGATCATGGCTGGTGTTCCTTTGCCCTTGCAGTGTACTGGGGGTTAGTTTGGTTGAATTGCAGCCCCACAGTTGCTGTTGTATTTGGGAGGTATTTAAACCACCTCACTTGTCACGGGAAGGATCTGCAAGGCCTTTGGTGTTCAGGCTGGACTGGGTCCAGCCCTGGAGCTGAGAACAACTCAGGATGACAGTGTGGACTCGCACAGGCTCCAGCCTGGCAGCTGCTTGTGGAAATGTTCCTTGTTTTTGGCATGCTGGGCAAACTCAGGCTGCCATGCCCAGCTTTGCCTGTGCCAGACTGGCATCACCCTGAGTAGCTGAAGAGGCTCTCCCTGATGGCAGAGAGAAGCTTGGCAGCTAGATGTGCTTCCTAATGGAAGTTTAGATTGGGGTTCTCCTGTGGAAACCTCCCTCAGGAGCTGAAGTTCAGCCCTGGAGAGCAAGTAGGGATTCTGCCCTTTTCATTTTTGCTGCCTCCTCCATCTGTGCATGGCTGCAGTCCTGTGACAGTTCTCCTTTGGGATGAGCTATGCTTGCTCTCCAGCACAGCTTGAGTGTGTGCAGAGCTGCTGGAAGGGATGTGGTGCAGTTCTGTTTGCTACACCTTCTCTTGACTCATACTTCAACTCTTTGCACCTCTTAGTCAAGAGCTGAGGAACACCTGACCCCCGGAGATCCGTGGGCAGGAGGGAGTTTCCAGGTGGAAGCAGTTATTACTGTTGCAGGTGATGATGCTTTTGCAGGGCATCTCCCACCCAAGTGGCTTAACTGGAGCTGTGAGTTATTGCCGAGTGATTTCATTTCTGCTCCTTATCCCAGAGCTGGGATTGCAGTGAGCCCAGCATCTTTTGCATTCACCTCATGACTGTGTGTCCCTAAGCCAAGGCAGGATAAAGGGGAATGGCTTCAAACTGACAGAGAGTATGTTTAAATTAGATAGAAGGAAAAAATGCTTTCTTGTGACGGTGCTGAGGCCCTGCCCAGAGGAGTTGTGGCTGCCCCATCATTGAAAGGCCAGAGTGGGCTGGGCTTGGAGCAGTCTGGTCTAGTGGAAGGTGTTCCTGCCTGTGGCAGAGGGTTGGAAATGAGATGATCTTCAAGATCCCTTCCAAATTAAACCATTCTGTGATTCTCTGAAGCTTCTAGTACCACGAAGCTGCAGCTTGTTGTGCTGTGGAGCGTGGTATTCCTGCCTCTCCTCCCGATCTCTGTGGTTGGGGTGGAGGGTTCTGCTGCAACACTGGTTCTGTAGAAACTCCTTGCAAATTCTCTTCTCTTTAAATATTTGCAGAACAAGACTAGATGCACCTCGATTGGAAACAAAATCCCTGAGTAGCTCTGTGTTGCCACCAGGTTATAACTCTGACCGCCTGTCGGGAAGCAACCGGGACCAGATCCTGAAACCAAAGCGGTCCCATCGCAAAGCAGATCCTGATGCTGCCCACAGGTAGGATCATCTCTCCTAAGAGCAATGTTTGGGATGGTGTGTGTGAATCAGTGCATAGCTGAGGTCCCTGGACTCAGAACATAATTAAAACCATTCTGATTTGCACCTGCCAGGTGCTTTCTGCAATGCTCAGATCTGTTTTATCAGAATGAGCTCTTTATGTGTTCCTCCCAGACTTGTGGAGGCTGAGCTCTGGCTGTAAGCAGCTTACATTGTTTATCCTGTGAGTGGCATAATGAAGAAGCAATAGATTTGGCTGGCTTTTGATAATGCAGTCGTTCAGAACAATAGTTTCCCTGCAGCTAATCATTTTTGACCTCTATTGCCAAGCAACCTGTGCAGCTGCGTTAAACTATATTATGAAAGCAGTCCTGGGAGGGAACGTGAGGGTTTGCTATCTGGGAAAGGTTAAGGACTTCTTGGGAAGCTTTTCAGGCCTGTTTTGATTCCAGAGCTGCATGTGTGTATTTTTGTGTGAGAAACCAGACTATGTGGATGTTTAAGCCTGACCTTCAGGGAAGCTCCTTGCTGAGGTTTCAGACAAGCTTGAGCTCTGCAGCAAGGCTTCCCTTAAACACCTTGGTGTGAGCACACTGATGGCTGTGAGTGATAGCCAGTCTGCCAGCTGTCCTGCATATCCCAATTCCAAAGCTTCCTGAGGATCCAGATGGCATTCTCTGCACAATGAGTACAACCCAAAAGTTGATTTGGTCTCAGGGCTTGGCTACCGTGTGCTCCCAGCCCTGTTTGAACCTGTCCTGTGGAGGGAGGAGGGTGGGGATGGTTTGTTTGTGAGCAGTGTTCATTCACCTGGACACAGGCTGGAAGGTGGATGAAGATCTGAAGCTGGGCTGCAGGTGCAGCTTCCCTGGGAGCACGCACAGGGCCGGTGTCCGATCAGAGGAGCGATCATGCGGGACAAATGTGCCCATCCGTCAGGGCTGTTTTCCAGCCTGATGTGACCTTATCAGGCTGTGGGGGATGGCTTGCATAGGCTCCTGCAGCAGATGGGTGTGAAAAACATGTTTTTCTCTTTCTCTGGCCTCAGAGACTCCAGTAGAACAGGTAATTCTCATGGATATCATAGTGGGGTCTCTCAGGAACCACTCGGATAAATTAAGTGATGTGTGCAGCTCACCAACCAAGTCTTGCTAGAAAGTGATCAGAGGCAGCTCTGCAGAAATAACAATTGCACTGTGCTAATATTTGAGAGGACTGAGGATTTTGGAGCTGTGGTGTCATCCTGCACCACAAGGAGCTCAGCTCTGTGCTCTAAACTGCTGCAGTAGACACAGACCCCTCTTTCCGAGGGATTTTTCTTGGGGCCACAAGCTGCAAGTTAAAAAAAAGAGGTGACTGGAAGTGTTCCTGTAGGTAAAGGCCAAAGCTCCAAAATCCTTTTGGGATTTTTGGGAGCCTTGGGAAGGGAAAGAACTGGCCCATCATAGCAAAGTTCTCAGCTCCCCTTGCGAGGTGCAGCTTGGTGATCTGTTCGTGCTCTGCCAAGTGCCCAGTGCTGGGAAAGCATTGAGAAAACAGGCAGAGCTATCACAGCAGGTAACCTGCAGGTAACATAGTAGGAACATCGTGGTGTGTGCTCTCACTCCTGTGCTCTCCCTCTCCACAGGCCACGGATTCTAGAAATGGATAAGGAGGAGAACAGGCGCTCAGTCCTCTTACCAAAACATAGGAGACGGAGCAACTTCAGCTCTGAGAACTATTGGCGAAGGTCTTACGAGTACACAGAGGACTGTGATGAGGAAGAGGAGGATGGCAGCCCCGCCAGGAAAGTCAAAATGAGGCGACACTGAGGATTGCACTTCCCAGGCTCGTGGAGCTGATGAGATTGGCCTCCAGTCTGTGAAAACTTTCTCCTCCCTCTGGCTATCTTCCATCTAGCTTCAGTTTTGGTTTTTCCTTTCAGGCTGAAGAGTAAACAGGAAGGATTTGGTTTTATGAATGGAGGAATGCTGAGACATACGTGAGGATGGAACATGTCCAGTGCACATGGTGTCCTGAGTCATGGGTCAAACGGGCATCTCTCCCTTAGGAAGCAGATAAAGTTATGCCAGGTTGTCTGTTGAGATTTCATTTGAAAACACCAAAAAGTTTAACTGTTTCAAGAATTGTATTTTTGTTTTGGTTTTTTTTGTTTTGTTTTTTTTTTTTGTGTTTTTTTTTTTTTTTTTTTTTTTTTTTTTTTTTTTTTTTTTTTTTTGCTTTAACAGTTTTCTTTCCAAATGTTCTAAATATGATGTTTGACCCCAGGAACTGAAATTCCGTGGTGGGCTCATATTCCTCGTTTCCCTGAAGGGCTCCTTGGTCTTTTCTTACCTGGTGGTTGTTGGGTCTGTTTGAAGGGTGCCCTGCAGTAACTGGAAGTTTGAAGCTTTGCAGACCCCTCTTGCTGCGATCGATTTCAAAGGGTTTAGGGTATTTTTGTTGCACTTTAGTGTTTTAAATGCCGTAGGTTTCCTTTCCAGACCCTTTTCCCAAGCCAGCATGGGCTCGCAGGCCTGTGTCCATGTGCTGCCCTCTCCAAGAAGAATGTACTAGAGCTCTGGTTTCTCAGTGCTGGTCTGACTGGGGCCATGCTGTGGTTGAGGAGGAAGGAAACTGGCCCAGCATTGTCCACTATTGTCCTGAGATCCATATTGGAATCTCAGGGCTGCCAAGTGAGGGATCACACTGAGCACGTGCTGCTTCCCAGAGCTGGGGATAGCAAAGAGGAGTAGGAGACGCTGTGCTTGTGAGGGCTTGTGCCTTGGGAGCCCTGAGAAGAGCCCTTCTCCACTGCCCCTTCCAGGTGGAGAGAGCTGAGTTGGTGCAGCATTCCTGGCACAGTGACCCATCCCAAGGGACTGGCTGCACTCTCATGGAGCAGGAACAGGAGCTGCTGTGGCCTTGGGGGAGCTGAGCAGCTCTGTCCCCTCCAAGGCTGGCTCTGGGAGCAGGGACACTGCAGGGCTGGAGTTTGGCCCCAGTTCAGTGCATCCAGCACTGAAGTTGCCTGCTTTCTCCTGGCTTATTCCTGCCTGTGTTCCTGGGGTAGGGAGTTTTCTGGTTGCTCCAGGAAATGCTGAGAAGAATCAGGCGTTCAGCCCTGTGGAGTTGTGTTAGAGCATCTGCCATCATCATCCTCTTCTCCCACCTGGTTTGCATTAGCCCAGACCAAAGCCTTGGTGTTTGCAAAGTTTGGGGCCCAACGCCATATTTAGAGCTGTACTTTTAAGGAAAACTTCCTCCAGTTGATTCTTTGAACCCGAGTGTTGGCAGTTGTAAGGAGTAGTCTTATTTTTAAATTTTTACTGCTTTGCCCTCCCTCCAGTTGTAGTTTTTCTTAGTGTCGTGTCCCTCACACACTTCATGGTCTGCACGCTTGGCAATAAAAAGATGTAATATATTTTGAAACCTGTTTGCTGCTGTCTTGGGGGGGCTCCTGGTTTAAAGCAACCACCCAGGCATTGTTCCCTGCAGCACTGATCGAGGACATTTGCTGACATCTGGGTCCCACTGTCCTTTCCCTTCCCTGCTGGTTTTCACCTGGTGTTGGGGTTCTGCTCAGGCTGGATCTTGTCACATGAGCTCGGTGAATGTTGCCATCACCTTCAGCACAGTGCTGGCCTGTGAGGGTGTTGGTGAGGTCCCCAGACTCTGACTATCCCATGATTTTCCTGGTGAGAGCCTCCACTGGCTCTGTGCTGACGCCCAGCCTCTGAAGGGACGTGTCTTGTCAGTCCAGAGATCCAAAAGTTTGTGCTTCTGCTGCTTGTAAAACCTTGAAAATGCTGTTTTCAGACCACACGTAACAATGTTCCTCACCCTCCCAGCTTTCTGCTGCGAATCCAGGCCAGCTCTTGGCTACAAACCCCCTGTTTTGGAAAGCTTGGCATTCCCCTGATAGCAAAAGCGCACACAGGGAGCAGAGATCCCTTCTCCTGCTGATGGCTTTGTGTTTCTGGATCCATCTCCTGGCCATGCCCCGTGCCTGTCGTGCTGCCAGTCTCTGCTGTGGGTGCAGACGGTGACAGAGGTCACTGCCACAGGTCTCGGCTCTTCCCCTCTCCCCTCCTGGCTCCCAATTTTATCCCTACCTCTCCAATATGGATACTTTACCGTGGTGTCAACTCAAAATGAAGCTGGAGCAGCTGGCCTTTCCACAGCTGCTTCCCAGAGCAGGACTTCCATGGGATGAGGTGTGGCTCTGTCTCTGGACAGCCTGAGGACCTCTAGGCTGGTCCCAGCCATCCCCTCATCCCAGTCCTTGTGCAGGCTGTACATGGGCAAGTTTCCTTTCCCAGCTTGTTTTGGTATTCCTGCATGTCCTGCTCAGGAGCTTTCCCCTCCTTCCCTCTTCCCATCCATGCAGTGGGTCAGAGCTGGCAGCCATGGCTGGGGGAACAGGAGGAGCTCCTCTCCAGCCACGACCTGCTCTTGGTTTTTAAAAATCTGACTGCTTGGGGCTTGACACCTTGGAGAGAGAGAGAGAGGGAGCAGGATGCAGGTGGGCAGAACCCGCAGCATCCCTCAGGAGAAGAGTCCCCAGCGTGTAGGCAGGGCCATCTTCCCACTTGTACAGACATTTTCTATAGACACGGATGTATATGTGTAGATAACATGGTTTTTTAACTCTTTTGCACTGAACAACATCAGAGTGAAACCTGGATTCGAAACTAGAAGACATTTTTCACACGGATCCAGAGGTCTGGATCCTTCCTGTAACCTGTCTGGTTGAAGCTGTGGCTCGGAATTCCTGGTTTTCTCTGTTGAGCTGCACACAGGCATCAGGTCAGGCTGGTGGCATGGGGCTGGTGCTGAGCAGGGAGTGGGGTGAGCTCCAGTTTGGAGGCAAAACTTCTCCCATCTGCCCCCCAGGCTGGGCTCATGCACAGCCCTGATCCTGTTTGGCTTTGTTGTGTGTCTGATCTGGTTGTGTGTGATCCAACCTCTCCATCCACCCACAGCGTGTCCGTGCTCAGCCCCAAACTGGGAGCTACATCCAGTGTGACAATCCATGTGCCCAGACCAGGAGAACTGTCTTTCCTAAGGAAGGGGGAGGAAGGTGGGGTTCATCCTTGCTTTTCTGTAAAGAACAGGAGGAATTGGAGTTTGTTACTGTTACCGTATCTCGAGAAGGGTCAGTGGTGGAATTATCCAAGCCCATGGATCAAAACAGCTGCCAGGCTTTGAGGAGGGCTCGGGGGGCGGGGGGGTGCTGGGGTCTAGACCCCCACCAGCAGCAAAGAGTTTTTTACCTGCCAAAGGTGTTCCCTTTCCCTCTTGGGAGGAGAAACATTCAGCTGAGAAATGTCTCTGCTCCTTCCCCTGCCCACACTTAGAAATTCTGGCTGACTTTAATTTTTGTTTTTTAAAAGATTCTAATTTTTTTTTGTTACCAATAAAAATAAAAATTAAAAAAAAAAAACAAAACTAAAAAGAAAGTGGCAATATTTTTTTCTGTAAGCTTTTCCTAGGAAAAAGCGTGGTTTGTAACAAAGTTGTACAGTTCTGAAGTTTGAGATACGAGAAGTACTGTGTGAAACGCTGTAAATGGGGCAGAGATTATTTTATGTACAGTCTGATGTGGGGGAATCTTTTAATTCCGGTTGATTCTTAGGAAGAATTTGGTTCTTCACTGTCAGGGTTTGGAATTTCATGGTTTCATTATTATTTTTTTTTCTTGTATAGATTGCTGCATTAATTGAATAAAAGCAGAAAGCATCACTTGGCCTGTCTGTGTGGTAGTACTGGGGGCAGGGATGGGCCTCGATTCCCCCTGGCAGGAATGAGGTGGTTGGGAGCAGGGAACTGGTTCTAAATAAAGGCAGTCACCAGCTCCCCGGGGACAGGGTGGCCAAATGTGGTGGCTCTGCTTCCTGAGCTAGAAAGCAGGGACAGGGGGATCTCTGCCTTCCTCCTCCTCCTCTTCCTGCCGGCACCCTGTGCTTCGGCCTCGTGCTGAGCCCCTCATCCTCCTTGTGCCTCCCTCTTGCAAGAGGGAGATGGTGGGATGGGTGTGAGGTGCCAGAGACAGGATGGATGGGGTCTGCTGCTCTTCCTCCTCTATTCTTTCCTGCTCTTCTCTCTCCTCTCTCCTATCCTCATCCTCCTCTCCATCTCTTTTCCCTCCTCTCTCATCTCCTCTCTTCTTCCTCCTGTTTCTTCTCTCCCTCTCTTCATGCTTCTTTATCTCTCATTCCCTTATTCTGCCTCTCTCTCCTCCCCTTTTCACTACCCCCTTCTTTCTCCCCTCTGTTCTCCTTCTTCCTCCTCTGAGTTCTTCCTCCTTTTCTGCCTCATTAGGCGCCAGCCTCCCCACCCTCAGTCTCCGGGGCTGTGCCTGCGGTTTAGGCCCCTCCTGAACCATCCATGAACCCTCATCCATCCATCAGCCCACAGCCCATCACCGGGGCATCGTTCCCAGCTCGCCCCCGGGCTGTTTTCCACCCCAAAACCCTGCGTCACCCTAATGCTGCATCTCCGCAGGGCCAGGGTTAGTCAGCAGGGAGGGGAAGCCATGCCCTACCCGGGGTGACTCACCCCAAAACTGGGTGCAGGGCAGGTTGCTCTCCCTCCCACCTTGGGATGATGCTGTGGGGGCAGTGGGGAACAACATTCCCGGGGCCCTGGCGGGAATAATGAGTCGCCAGCCGGGAATGAGCCTCGAATGCCAATTCTGGCAGGATGCTCCAGGCCGAGTAGCCGGGGCGCCGCCATGTTGATGCACCCCATGGCTGTGGGGTGCATGATGAGATCCCAAATCCACGACATCCCATGTTTGCGGGGCTTTGCGACCACGATGACCAGGCTTGGGGTGTCCTCGCTGTCCCTCACCGTGCTCACGGGGAGGAAAAACAGCGAAAGAAGAAGGTTTAAAAAATAATGTAAATAAATCCAGCGCAGAGGGCGTTGAGTTAGACGACTACATATCCCATGGAGAGGCGCAGCGGCGCAGGCGCAGCAAGAGTGGGCGGGGCCGCGGCGCGCGGCGCTCGTTGCCGCGCGCTGATTGGCGGGAGCAGCTGTCCGTCAGGGTTCCGCTCCGCCCCCGCCGCGGCGGTGCCTGCCCGGGCTCGGCGGGCGCGCGCACCGGGACCCCGCACCGGCACCGGGGACCCCGCACCGGCACCGCGCCCCCTGCCGGCCCCACCCCGCGCCGCGCCCCGGCCCCGCCACCGCCACCGCCGCCCCGGGACCGGCCCCGGGACCGCCGGCCGCGCCCGCCCCGCCCGGTACCGCGCCACCGCCACCGCCGCCGCCGCCGGCCCAACCATGATGAAGTTTCGGTTCCGGCGGCAGGGTGCCGACCCGCACCGCGACCGCATCCGCCACGACCTCTTCGCCTTCAGCAAGGTGCGTCTGGGGGAGCGGGGGGGCGGCGGTGGATCCCGGGGGGCGGCGACCACCGGGAGGCACCGATGGTGTCGGGCAGGGTGCGGCGTGCGGGCAGCCCCGCGGTGGCGCGGGGCTACGGTACCCCGGCGGGATGCTGCCCGCGGGGAGGCGAGCAGCGTGCGGGGCACCGCCCCCCGGGACCGGCTGAACCCCCCGGGGATCCGCGCACCGGGACCTCCCCGCTCCCGGGGCAGGGGCACGCAGAAAGGGCAGGGCTGCCTGGCCGGGGGACCCCGGGACGGGCTGCTGGGCCGCTCCGGAAGGATGCACCCCCGGGGGTGGGTACCGAGAGCCCCGGGTGCGGGATGCGCCCCGGGGTGCGGAGCGGGGGGCTGCGCTCCTCCCCGTGCGGTGCAGAGGGGCACTGGGAGAGGATGCGATCCCTTCACCAGCGCAACATCCTTGTCCCCAGCCCCTCTTGGGAGAGGTTCCCTGGAGCACCCCGGTTCCCGTGCTCCCCCTGTCCCGTGGATTCCCCAGGCCTCGCTCACGGGCGTTTTGGGGTGACCCGTGGTCCCGCACCCTGTCTGGTCTTGCAGCATCCCTCGCTGCATCCCCCATGTGGGGCTCAGCCCTTTACCCCAATCTCCCCAGGGGTGGGATACTGGGGGGCTGGACCCCCTGTGTCAGCAGGAAGGGCTGTGCCGATGACCCCCCGGGCTTGGGGTTCCCTGGCACCCCAAAGATGTGACTCTGGGGGGCCGTGAGAGGTCAGTGCTTTTCCCCCCTCCTTCCCTCCGAGTTTGCCGACTTACCCCCCTCATTTGAGGTGGGAGAGACCCCCAGGCTCATCAAACAACTCTGGTGCGACCCCACAAACCCTAGGGTGCCAGACCCTTCTCTCGGGACATCGGGTTGTGCCAGCGGGTGCCCGCCTGGGACTTGGTGCAACTTGTCCCAGAACCACTGTGGCATTGGGACCACCCTCCTGCCCTGGCCGCGGGGCAGGAGACCACGGGCAGTGGCCCCTGGATGAGCCCAAACCATCAGTCCGTCATTCGGCAGCATCCTGGCACTGCTGTGTGTGGTACTTGCCCGACTCATGGTGGGGACGGTGCCGTGCACCGGAGGGACCCCCGGGCTGTCGCACAGCGGGACCGGGCTGGGAGGTGTCGGGATGTGCAGTGGTGAGGGGTCAGAGCCAGCTCCCACTGCCCAACACAGCCCCGGTCCCCCAACTCACTGCCGGGGTGCAAGGCTCAGCCCATCCAGAGTCCCGCTGGTTTTGGGGAGCACAGTCCCACTGCCGGATCCTGCCCGAGTGCCCAGGGTGGGTTTGTGCCAGTGGGATGTGCTGGGGGGAGATGAGGAGAGCCCCTCTTCGGCCGTTCCAGCTCTGGGGCCGCTGGCTGCCCACCTGCCTCCCATTAACGGTTGTTTTTCCTCCCGAGCTCCAGATCTGCCTGGGATTTGCTGTAATTTGGCCGGGAGCGCGCCTTGGCCGGCCGGCGCTGCCTGCCGGATGCGGCCCCGCTGCGGGCGGGAGCGGGGGCTGCGGGTGGGGGGCTGAGCCGGGCCCCCCTTTGCGATTGGGAGTGCTGGGGAACTGGGACAGCGCTTTTTGGGGAGTCTTTGCCGGTGCCATCGTGTTTCTGGCCTAAAGCATCCCTGTGGTGTCCCTGTGCTGCTGCTGTCCCAGCTCCTTCCTCCAGCGCGGCGTGCATCCCGGGGGATTGATTCAGTGTGACCCTACGTGGGTCGGCACCCACAAGCATCCACTTCCTCGCCCTTTGGACGTGTTGGGAGCCACTTGGATGGGCCGGGACGACTTGGATGGGCAGGGGACGTTTTCACGCTCCTAAAGGTGTCCCTTGGGAGGGGAGCAGGAGCTGGGGTGACAGCGGCTGCCGCCGGCGGGTGCGGAAAGCCGCCCCGCTGCGCCTCTCGGATGCCCCAGACAAAGGGAGCAGGTCAGGATCCGGCCAGTCTGGCTCCGGCGGCCTCCGTATCGTCTGATCGCGCCGTGGCTGCTCAGCCGAGCTGCCCTCGGGAGCCCTGCGGTCCCCTGGCCGCGGGCCGGGGCGGTGGGTGCCCCCCGCGTCCCCCCGCTGCCAGGGCAGCCCCTCCCCAGCCGGCGAGCCCGGGCACGCCGGACGGCCGGGACTTCCTTGGGAAGGTGCCCGCGGGCGACAACGCGGCTCTGGCGGGGACGTCCCTGGCGCTGGCGGGTCCAGCTCGCCTGGTTCTGCCGCCCGGCATCGGGGACGCCCGGTGATGTCGCATTGGGGGTCCCGCTCACCTCTTCTGGGGTGTCCTCACCTCGGGGGTTTAGACTCGGGGGTCCCATCCCCAAAGTGCTGGTGGGTGGTGGGACAACTTTTTCAAGGTCAGACCTACCCCGGCCCGTGGTGTGGCAGTTGAGCTGGGTTTTGGGGTACTGGGTGGCAGTTATGTGAGGAGTGATGTCCCCCTTCCCCAAGGCCCTCTTTGGTGGCACTGAGGGACAGAGCAGCATCATCGTGATCCCCCATCACAGGGGTGATGCTCGCTCAGGCTGGTGCGGGATCGGAGCTGTGGGGGTGAGAGGGGGCTGTGGAAGGTTTGGGGGTGTCAGAAGTGGGGGGGTCCCGCTCTGACCTGCCTGTCCCCATGGCAGACGGTGGAGCACGGCTTCCCCAGCCAGCCCAGCGCCCTGGCCTACGACCCCGTCCTGCGTGTGATGGCCATCGGCACCAAGGCGGGAGCCGTCAAGCTGTATCCTTTTCCTCCCCCATGAGCAGGAGGTAAGGACCTCCGGGACCCTCCTGCACTCACTCCTCTGGCTGTCCCCATCCCGAAGAATGCTTGGAGACGTGGCCGTGCTGCTTCTGGCCCATCCGGCAGCCCCCACTCGGCTGACGTCCATCCCTCCATCCAGCTGTGCTGCAGCTGGGCCGGGCGGCGAGGGGGCGGCTGGAGGAAACCCCCACCTCCCCCAAAACGCCGGGAGGGGAGAAAAGGGGCTCGGCCGTCCCTGGGGGGGACATCCCAAGTGGGGGATCCTTCCTACTTATCCCGGGGGGGCTCCTGTCCATCCCCGCAGCCCTCGGGGGGGGGCAGCGGGGGTTCTGGCCGTCCGGAGCGGGGCTGCGGTGGGCGCGGAGCCCGGTCCCGGGTGGGGGGCCGAAGCGGGGGACGCCGAGCGGGGCCGGCCGGGCTTTGTTGGCGGCAGCGTGCAGGGAGACTTCAGAGGGCTGCTGGCGAGCGGCCAGGGCTGGATGCGGCCCGGGCTCGGGGGGCCCCGCGCCGCAGGAATGCGGGGTGGGGGCGCGGGGGCGGCTGCGCCCGCAGCGGGGTCGGGGTGTGGGGGGCGGCCGCACTCCCCATCCCCCAGGCCGGCGGCTCGCTGCCTCCCGAGCACAAAGATGGCGTGTTTTGTTCTGCCGGGGCCGCCCCGGTGCCAGCCCGGCCGCGACGTCGCCGGCCGCCCCACTCGCCCGCCCGGCCCGCGGTGCTGGTCCCAGCTGAGCCCCCGCCCCGGCACCGCGGGGATGAGGTTGCGGGGGGCTGCCGTGCTCCGAACATCCTCTGCGGGGATGGTTTTGGGGTGGTACCCAGCGTGGTACCCCGTGCTATACGGCCCTGCTCTGGCTGCCGCCAAAAGATGCTTCTGGAGGTTGACGGTGCCGGGGAAGCCGGGACCGGGTGAGGCAGCAGCCGGAGCTGGCTTGACTGGCGTTACTGGTTAGTGGGGGCACCCCTGGGTGCTCCCTGGCCGGACTGGGCGGATCTGCTTGCAGACAGCCCGGCATTGAGGGGCAGCCAGTGCCTGGGGGGGTCTCCTGGGGCAGCTGGGGGTCCCCGTGCTTGCACTCCCGTCCCACATGCTGGTGACACTAGTGTGCCTGAGCCACTCGTCCTGAGGGCTCTCAGCTTGTGGCACTATTTTGGGTGGGGAAAGACCCCAGAATGAGCGAGGATGGGTGGCATCTCCCATCCATGGAGCACCGAGGGGCCCTCTGCGTGCTCCCTACTTCATTCCCATGCGCTGTTGCCTGCTCTCCCCAAAACTCCGTGGCTGTCACCTGGCTCTGCCAGCTCAGCTGTGCCCAGCACTGCCAGACAGCTCCTGCCTGTCCGGCTGGGCAGAGCCACCAGGCTGGTTCCCTGTGCCGAGGGCACCAGAAGGTGGCCAGGGGCAAGGACTCCCAGCACACGGCGTGCCCAGATGTGGCCGCACTGGTGACACCGGGCTGGGGGTGCTGGCCGGCTCTGGGGGTGCTGGGGATGCCAGGCCGGGGCGCTCCGTGCGCTTCCCGGTTCCTGCCGAGCAGCGTCCCCGAAGGAGCCGGGACCAGTCGGGTGAGTGAGGCTGTGCCGGCGCATGCCAAACCCCACCCCGGCACTGCCGGTGCGTGCCGGGGCTCCCGGCGCCTCTCGCACACCCACCCCAGCTGTGTTGGCCGCAGCCTGACCTGGGAACATCCCGGTAGGAGGATCCCAGCCTGACCTGCAGTGTCCCAGCTGGAGGTGCTTGCTAGATCCCAGGCTGATTCAGAGTGTCCTGGTTGGAGTTGGAGGTGCTTGGTGGATCCCGGATGGGGATGGTGGTGCCAAGGCTGGCTCTGGCATGGATGCTCTGCCAGGGATGCTCTGCCCTGGCTCTCCTGGGGAAAGGGGGCTAAACTGGTGTTTGCAGGCAGAACTTTGACTTGAGAGAATTCACAGGGTCCTGAGGTTTGCTGGGGAAGGGGGGGGGGGGGGGGGCTGTACCCTCGTTGTTTCTTTGACGGCCCCCCCAGATATGGTGCACCAGGTGTGGAGCTGACAGGTCTGCACAAGGAGACAGCCACTGTCACCCAGCTGCACTTCCTTCCCGGCCAGGTACGTGGGTGTCTTGGTGGGGAGCCTGGCTGCAGCCCTCCAGCACCTCACACACGCTGCTGTCATCCCCCATCCCCAGGGCTGGCTCCTCTCGCTGCTGGATGACAACACGCTGCACCTGTGGGAGGTGTGCCAGAAAGAGGGCTGCTCCCACCTGGAGGAGACCCGAAGCTTCGGCCTCCCGGGACGCCCAGGGTCCGGCAGCGCTAAGTACTTGCCTGGGGGGGTCAGAGCCACTCCCTCGCGGGGCTGCGGCCGCCGTGATGCTGCTGCCAGCTGGGAACGGCGCGTGGGAGCAGCCGGCCTGCTCGGGAGGGAGGAAGGGAGGGATGCTGGCCAAGCTCCTCTCCCTGATGGTGTTTTCCCCACTGGGATGCTCCTCTGATACCAACTGAGATGCTGAGTGCAGGGAACAGCTCTGGAGTTTTTATGGTGCTGGCAGGGCCTGGGGGTGATTAATGGCTCTAATTGATGTCAGCACTGAGGCTGTCCTTGTCCTCCTAAATTCAAGGTGATGGGAATGAAGGGGTGGAGCAAGGGAGGTATGAGGTCTCTTTGATGCTCCCCCAGACCCAACACGGTGTTGAGGCAGCCTCTGTTCCCCCCTAGCTGCTCCCCTGGCATCACACGGGTGACAGTGGTCCTGCCGATGGCTGCTGTTTCCATGGTCTGCCTGGGCACTGAGGGTGGTGCCGTGTACTTTGTCACCCTGCCCACCCTGACGCTGCTGGAGGACAAAACTCTCTTCCCAGATGAGATCCTGCAGAGGTGAGAGTCCTGCAGGTCCCATGCCCCGTCCACCAGCACCCCTAGGCCCCCCTCTGACCCTCTGTGCATGTCCCCCCGCAGTGTCCCCGATGACTACCGCTGTGGGAAGGCGCTGGGGCCCGTGGAATCCATCCAGGAGCACCCACGCAACGGCAGCCAGCTCCTCATCGGGTACAGCCGGGGGCTGGTGGTCCTGTGGGAGCAGAGCACTCGTGCTGTCCAGCATCTCTTCCTGGGGAACCAGGTACCGGGGCTGACCTGGGACTGGTGGGGCTGTGGCCCTGTGTGCGTGTCCCTGTCTGAATGCTGAGCCCCCCGTGTGCCCCCACAGCAGCTGGAGAGCCTGGCCTGGGAGCAGAGTGGGAAGAGCATCGTCAGCTCCCACAGCGACGGCGGCTACATGGTGTGGGCAGTGAGCGGCGCCGGCCAGAGGACCCAGCAGCCGGCCATGTCCACCATCCCCTACGGTACAGGAGGGGGTCTGGGGAGGCTCTGGAGGCTGGGAGCTGATCCTCCTCCATCCCAGTGCTACAATCACAGTGTTGGTGTCTTCGTTTCAGGGCCGTTCCCTTGCAAAGCCATCAGCAAAATCCTCTGGCGAACCTGCGAGTCAGGGTAGGTGGGTGGGCTGGACATGGGCACAGGGGACACTTGGGGGGGTCCAGGGTCTGATGGCAGCTGCTTTATCCCACCCAGGAACCCCTTCATCATCTTCAGTGGGGGGATGCCACGGGCCAGCTATGGTGACAGGCACTGTGTCAGCGTGCTGCAGGGCCAGACCCTGGCCACGCTCGACTTCACCTCCCGTGTCATTGACTTCTTCACCGTGCAGAGTGCAGAGGTGCCCGAGGGAGGTATGTCCTGCCAGGGCCACCCTAGGGAGCGGGTGATGGTGTGGGGGTCTCCACGTGCAACAGCAATCTCCCCCTCCCCAGGCTTTGAGAATCCCCGAGCCCTCGTGGTGCTGGTGGAGGAGGAGCTGGTGGCCATCGACCTGCAGACACCGGGCTGGCCCACCATCCCTGCCCCGTACCTGGCACCTCTCCACTCCTCTGCCATCACCTGTTCCTGCCATGTCTCCAACGTGCCCCTCAAGCTCTGGGAGAGGATCGTCAGTGTGGGCGAGCAGCAGAGCCCTCGGCAATCCTCTGCGGTCAGTGATGGGGATGGTGGGGAGGGGGGCTGCTGAGCCCCTTCCAGCATGGCCCAGCGGGCTTCATCCCTTCCTTCATCCCCTCTCCATCCCTCCCTCCAGGCTTGGCCCATTGATGGGGGAAAGAACCTGGCCCAGGAGCCCACGCAGAGGGGGCTTCTCCTCACCGGGTGAGTGTGCTGGCAGCAGGGAGGGGGCCTGGGAAACCCAAAATGTGGGAGGGGACACATCCACACCCATTCCTGTGGTGAGGGAGTGGCATGGGATTGTGGTGGCATCTACTCCCTCTTTTCGGCTGGGCATGAGTGTGTCACCCGCTGCTGTCCCCCGTTGTCCCCCCCCTCTGGCACGGTGGCTGCCAGCACACAGGCAGCTCTTGTTAGCTGGGCAGATGTTGGGGCCCCGCGCTGACAGAACCCCCCCACCCAGGCACGAGGACGGCACGGTGCGATTCTGGGACGCCTCGGGGGTCTCCCTGAAGCCCCTCTACAAGCTGGGCACCGCCAACATCTTCCAGACAGACTGTGAGCACAACGACAGCCTCAACCAGGCGGGCGAGGAGGAGTGGCCTCCGTTCCGCAAGGTGAGGTCCCCTGGGCAGGGTGACACTGCCATGGAGCTCAGCACTCTCCTGGCTCTGCCAGCACTGGAGGGGGCAAACCCAGAGCTGGGCACGGGGGATGCACCTGCTGGAGCCATCCCGGCTGTGCCCCGGGGACGTGTCCCCCGGCTCGGGGCACAGCTGCTGTGTGACGCACTGTGGGGACACAAGGGACACTTGTTCCGTGGGCCCAGTCCCGCGGGTCTGCCCCAGCATGGGGGAAAGAGCCAGGGGGTGTGTGGGGACAGACTTTTCCTGGGCGTGATGCCCAGAGTGGCTCGTGTGCCACAGCTGGTGGAGGGATGTGGGGGTGCAGGGGGGGCTGCCCCACAGCTATGTGCAGGGTCCTGGCTGTCCCTTCAGCTGTCCCCTCCCACAGGTGGGCTGCTTTGATCCCTACAGCGATGACCCACGCCTGGGCGTGCAGAAAATTGCACTCTGCAAGTACACAGCCAAGATGGTGGTGGCTGGCACGGCGGGGCAGGTAAGGTGGCAAGGACAGAGCAGGGGCTGCCAAGCACCTCTTGGCTCACCCACAGCATGAGGGGGGCTACAGACCCTGCAGACCCCCATGGTTGTCCTTGAAGGGCTCCTACCCCAGGTTTAGCCTGCGGTGTGCAGCAGGCTGGTTGTCTGGGTGGGATCCAGCGTGTCCCCCTGTCTGTGCTTGTCCCTGCAGGTGCTGGTGATGGAGCTGAGTGATGAGAAGTCGGAGCATGCTGTCAGCGTGGCCACCGTGGACCTGCTGCAGGACCGTGAGGGCTTCACCTGGAAGGGCCATGACCGGCTGGCCCCCCGGAATGGGCCCCTCCACTTCCCTCCTGGCTTCCAGCCCAGCGTGCTGGTGCAGTGCGTGCCCCCCGCCGCCGTCACCGCCGTCACCCTCCACTCCGAGTGGAACCTCGTGGCCTTCGGCACCAGCCACGGCTTTGGACTCTTTGACTACTACCGGCGCAACCCCGTGCTGGCCAGGTACGGGGGGACCTCGGTGCCGGGCACCCCCTGGGGTGATGTGGTGGGTGCTGAGCAGCGTCGGTGCCCGCAGGTGTACGCTGCACCCCAACGACTCGCTGGCCATGGAGGGGCCCCTGTCCCGCGTGAAGTCCCTCAAGAAGTCCCTGCGTCAGTCCTTCCGCCGCATCCGCAAGAGCCGCGTGTCGGGCAAGAAGAGGCTCAACGCCAGCAGCCCTTCCAGCAAGGTGGGCAGGGAGCGGAGGCCACCATGGCAGCTCCCGTCCCCACCGAGCAGGGACTGACCCCGTGTCCCCTCCCCAGGTGCAGGAGGCCAATGCACAGCTGGCGGAGCAGGCAGGGCCCCCCGAGGTGGAGATGACGCCGGTGCAGCGGCGGATTGAGCCTCGCTCGGCTGATGATTCACTTTCGGGGGTCGTGCGGTGCCTCTACTTTGCCGACACCTTCCTCCGTGATGGTGAGACCCCACCTCCCTGCCCGGGAAAAGCCCCCAAGCTGGGTCAGTGGGGAGGGGGCTCTGACACTGCTGCACCCCTACAGCCGCCCACCACGGCCCCACGATGTGGGCAGGGACCAACTCCGGGTCGGTGTTCGCCTACGCCCTGGAGGTGCCGTCGCAGGAGAAGTTCTCGGAGCGGGCGGTGGAGGCGGTGCTGGGGAAGGAGATCCAGCTGATGCACCGGGCGCCGGTGGTGGCCATTGCGGTGCTGGACGGGCGGGGGAACCCCCTGCCCGAGCCCTACGAGGTGTCTCGGGACCTGGCCAAGGCCCCTGACATGCAGGGCAGCCACTCCATGCTCATCTCCTCTGAGGAACAGTTCAAGGTGAGTGCAGGGCTCGGTGTCCCACTGTGGTAGAGATGGGACACAAAATGTCTCGTGTCCTCTTTGATGTCCTCATCATGCAGGGACTGGAGGTGACCAGTCAGGTTTTGGGGACACTCCCATGCTTGTTCTAACATGGTGAATCCAGGGGGAAGGTGCCCCCTAAACCCTGCAGGTTCCTGTTCTCCCCTGAGCCTGTCTCCTCCTGCCTCCCCAGGTGTTCACGCTGCCCAAAGTGAGTGCCAAGACCAAGTTCAAGCTGACAGCACACGAGGGCTGCCGGGTGCGGAAGGTGGCCCTGGTGAGCCTGGCCAGTGCTGGCTCTGAGGAGCGGCTGGAAAACTGCCTGGCCTGTCTCACCAACCTGGGGGACATCCACATCTTCACCGTGCCCAGCCTGCGGCCCCAGGTCCACTACAGCTGCATCCGTAAGGAAGACATCAGTGGCATTGCCTCCTGTGTCTTCACCAAGCATGGCCAAGGTGAGGACACCAGGTGACATCTGTGTTGATGGCATGTTGACCTCCCCTGCAGTTCTGTGGGGGGATCCCTGAGGCTTGTTGTTTCCTCCCCTGTAGGTTTCTACCTAATTTCACCATCTGAGTTCGAGCGCTTCTCGCTGAGTGCCAGGAATGTGACGGAGCCACTGTGCCGGCTGGAGGTCGCCCGGCTCCAGGACACCTGCCTCAGGTGGGCTGTCTCAGGGGTATGGGGGGCTTTGCTATGGTGGAACCCCTGTACATCCACCCCATGACATTGATTCTGGCCATAACTTCTCCCTCTTTCCTTCCAGCAACAGCTCAACGGTGACACCGAAGCTGCCCCAGGCGAACGGCACCCACGTCCCACGCAGCTCCGAGGGCCAGCACTCCCCCTCGGACAGTGACCGTGAGTGACCACCCTGTCCCTGCACTCACACTGTTTTCCACAGTCCTGCTTCAAGCCTGGCTCTGTGTCCTGGCTGTCCCCAATCCTTCCTGTCCCATGACTCCCCAGGGTCCCCTGTGGAGCACCCAGCTGCCTTCTCTCCCGGCCCCATCGACTCCCCCAACAGCAGCATGGAGAACCCGCTGGACACCACTGGGGAAATCACCGTGGAGGAAGTGAAGGATTTCCTGGCGTGAGTGGGGTGGGAATGGGGTAAGTGGTGCTGAGGGGCTGTGGCAGTGCTTCTCACCCTGCTCTGCCCTAGGTCCTCAGAGGAAGCAGAGCAGAACCTGAGGAACACCAGCGAGGACGAGGCTCGGCCCACGGGGATCCTCATCAAGTGAGGTCTGTGAGGGGCTGGTGGTCCCTGGGGTGGGAGTGGGATCTGTAGCCAGTGCAGTGCCCTGGCTTCCTGATCCATCACGGGAGGATGGAGTTATGATCCTTGGGGATTGTGGAGGAGTGGGGGAGCAGAGGGAATGTCTGTCCTGAGCCCCACCAACTCCTTCTGAGGAGCTGCCTCACCCACAGGCATCGCCAGCCTCCCTGACCCATCTCAGTGCTCGGATTCCCGGGATGCGCGACTCGACTGGACCCCCGCGCCCCCTCCCCATGTAACGTAGACTCGCCTCCTCTCTAACATCCGCGCCGGCCGCGCCCCGGCTCCGGCACTCCCCGCACACCTCCCTGCCCGGCCGCCGGCCCCGCACCCCCCCCGGCCCCCGTGCTGGGGCCGTGGGCCACAAACTCTTCCCGGGGAAGATAAAATTCCGTTTTTATACACGGTCGAGTGTCACTGTCCCCACTGCTCCAGAGCCCCCTTCCTGGGGGATGCTGCTGCTTCCCCGGCTCCACGGGGAGGGCTGGGGCTTGTGGACCCTCCCTTGTCCCCCGGTTTTGGTCCTTTGGGGCAGTGGGGGGGTCAGAAGCCCCCGGGCACGGCGCCCCCCCATACCCTGGTCTGTGTTTACATGCCCGGCTCCCTGCAGTTTACAGCCCCGTTCCCTGCCTGCCAGGAGGCTCTGGCTGCCACACAGGGGCTGTCCCCAGGGATCCCCTGGCTCCCAGGTGGGCAGCAGAGGCCTTGAGCAGCCCGAGGTGGGGCACGGTGGGGGGTCACAGGTGGCCTTGTTCTCTTAGTGGCTTCTCCAAGGGCTATTCTCCAGGTTGGGCTCTGTGCCTGCTGCTCCTTTCTGACACTAATTCCTGCCACGGGGTGGGTTTGGGATGGGATCACGCTGTGGAATTACACACCTGCTCCTGCTCCTGGGCCGTGTTGGTGCTGGGCGGGGGCAGATGGGGCTGCCCCAGCCCCCTCTTGCCCCAGGCTGGGCTACCCCACCCTGGGGGTCTCACTGTGCCAAATCCCCCCTGAGCTCCGAGCCTGGCCTCGTCCTCCTGGGGGGCTGTGGTGATGCCGGCTCTGTCCCCTGGCCCATGGTGGCTGTTCCCATGGGGCTCAGCTGGCCCCTGCCCCTCTCTTTTTGGGGACCTGTGCCCCCCCGGGCTCTCTTGCGGTACGTGTGTGGCTGGGGGGGTTCGGGCTCTGTTGCTGCCGGCCGAGGCCGGGGCTGTAGCGTCCCTGGTAGAACCCCCCCTCCAACCTCATCTTTGGTTTTTTTTGGATTTTTTTTTTTTTTTGGTAAGATGAATTTAGCATTGTTTAGTTATTAAAAATACTGGTTTTTAATATTGAAAATAAAGCATTTAATATCAACTGCCTAGGCTGCAGGTGTTTGCTGAGCTTTGGAGCCAGGTGAGTGCTGGGGTTCCCCTGGGCTGCAGAGGGGCACAATCAGGGTTGGGGATGACCCCATTTGGGAGTGAGCCAGAGCCTGGGACAGTGTCGAGGTGAGAAATACAGCCTTTATTGATATGATCCAGATGGGCTGATCTCTGCTGGGGGTCCATCCCCCAGGACAGCAGGGACCACCTGTAAGGCCCAGGGCTGAGAGCCCCTCACTCCCCCCAGTTCTCCTTAGCAAAGCATTCTCCCACCCAAACTGGGAGTCACTCCTGTCCCCCAGTCACAGGGGGAGCTGGACACTGGTTTGAGGCAGCAGCATCCCCAAGCAGGGTGTGACAGGAGCCCACACCACCCCATATGCCCCCCAGGAAGGGAAGGGGCTGAGCTGGGCCCCGTGCTGGGAGAAGGGGGGACAGAGGGACAGCCCCAGTGATCCCCACTGGCCCCAGCTCGGGGAGAAGCGGCTCCAGGCTGAGCCTGGCCTTGGCGGCAGCGCAGGGTGCCGGGGTCTGGCCCTGCCAGGGGGACAGTGGCCAGAGCACCGGGTGCCCCCAGCCCTTAGGTGGGCGGCTTGCGGAACACACTCCAGGCGTGGAAGCAGCGGGTGAAGGGCCAGGGCTCGTTGCCTTTCCGCACCAGCCGCAGCTTGCGGGGGTGTGTGGGGTCCTTGGAGCGCATGTGCTGGATGTACACCTGGGGCAGAGCATTGCCGTGGGGTCCTGGCCCTCACCCACCTCCAGGGCTGGCATTCCCCAGCCCAGAGATTTGCACCACCCAGATCAGGGCCCTGAGGGGAGAAGGAAATGCCCAAATCTTCCCCCACACAGTCCCAAGCATGGAGGGAGGTCTTACCTGGCATGCCTTGAGGCTCAGCTTGATCTCCACCTGGCTGGTCTGGGTGCCCACCCACATGTAGACCTGAAGAAAGGATCAGCAGCTGGGCTCAGCCCACAGAGCCACTGGAAGATCTGGGCCCAGGACAGCCTCATGCCCCCAGCTCACCTCCCGCCCGTTATCCAGCAGCATGATGTCATCATCAGCCAGGTCATCCTGGCAGAAATCTGAGCACTTTTCTGACACGGAGAAATAACCCTTCTCATTGGAGCATCTGCAGTAAGATGGACAGAGACAGCAGCAGGTATGAGTAGAGGGAAGGAAAATGATGGAGCAGCTGTTCAAGCTGGTTGGTTCCCAAGGGGGATGGGCTCTGTGGGAGGAAGGGAAGTGGCACAGCCTGGAGCCAGTGCCCACCTGAAGAGCCGTGAGTGCTTCATGTAGTCGGCATCTTCATCGTAGGGCTTCTGACCCCCAATGCCCACCCAGAAGAAGTTTTCGGGTTCTTCTCCCTCGTTGATAACCTGAAAGGGCAGGAACAAGGCTGAGTGTAGCCTGGATGGTCACTGTCACCCAGGTAAGGTGGCACTGAAGCCCTGCTCACCTGTTTGCTGTAGGAGTCATCAAACATGTGGTTCATGATGTCCTCAGCCAGCTTGGCCTCATCAGGGTCAGCTGCCCGGCCCACCCAGGTGTAGACAATGCCCTGGTTGTCCGTGCTCTCAAAGGGCACCTGGGGGGACAGTGGAGTCAGGGCTGCCCAGGGGGGCAGGAGGGCACCCAGGCAGCCCTGAGGATGCTCAGCCAACAGCAGTACCTTGAGGATGAAGCAGAACTCGGAGTTGAGCAGAGCAGCATCCGTGTTGATCTGGATGCACCTGGAGACAGAGACCCATTAGCTGTGCCCACCAGCAGGAATCCCACCTGGATCTGGCACCCGTGGGTGCTGCCTGGCACAGAGCAGCCCTGGAGCACTGACCTGGTGCAGAGGGCCCCGCCGTTGGTGCGGATGTGGTACAGGCTGGGCTGGGGAGTGCTGACCCGGTCCTTCCGCTTGCCCCGGTGGATCACAAACCTCCTCTTGAAGTGCGACAGGAATTTGGGGTTCTCCTGCTGCTGGGTCATGCGCACCACCTGGACAGGGGTGCACGTCAGAAGGGGCACAGGGACTTCCCAAACACAGCTCCAAGCCCCAGCTGCACCCCCCTGCCAGCTCCCATCTCTGCTGTCCTCTGCCTCAGCCTGAGGAGCAGACAGGGGATGGGGGAGAGGAGAGGCAAAGCTGGGCCACCCCTGTGTCATCCCCAAACTGTGTCACCTCCAGCTTGCCACGGAAGTGACTCTCAAACTTCTTCTGGAGGCTGAAGGTGAAGGTGAGCCAGCCCATGTTGGAGGCCTCCCGGCCCTGCCAGAAGTAGACGATGCACTGGGAGTCTTCCTCTGGCTGCTTCTCCTCCTCTTCTTCCTCACCCTCCTCTTCCCCTTTGCCTTCACCCTTCTTCTTTTTCTCCTCATCCTCCTCGTACTCCACTGGTACCCAGTACCTGAGGGCAGGAACAGGGAGTGATTTGACGGATGGGACAGTCGGGAGGACTGGGCAGGAAAGTTGGGGACAAGGTGGTCCAGCACCCTTCTGAGAGGGGACAAGCCAGGTGTCACCTGCACAGGAAGACGTAGCAGTCGTGGGTGTGGAAGTGGCCAAACTCCTCCTCAGGCAGGCGAGTGAATTTCTTGCCCTCCAGCACGAAGCCCTCCATGCCATCCAGGTCCTCGTTCCACTCCTCCATCAGCTGCTCCGCCTGTGGCCCCACGTGCTCAGTCAGCCTCCCAGCTCCTCCACCAGCACCCAGCCCCACCCCATGGGGGATTCATGGGGGGTCCCCAGCCCTACCTCACTGAGGGGCATGGGGGGCTGGCGGGGCAGGAAGAGTGCAGTGAGGTCAGCCTTCATCTGGTCCTTCTTCTCGGCGTCCTTGCGGACCTTGCCAGCCAGGCCGCCGTCCTGCAGCACCGTCTCGGCATTCCGGGTGTAATCCACGCGCAGGACGTCATCCCAGTTCTTGAACTTGGACTTGAACACCTACATCACAGAATTGTTAAGGCTGGAAAAGACCTCCAAGATCATCAAGTTCAAGCCATGACCGATCTCAACCTCGTCAACCAGACCAGAGCACCGGGTGCCATCTCCAGTCATTCCTTGAAAACCTCCTGATGTTCAAGGTGTAAACTGGGGAGTAGGTAACAGACCCTCGGCCACAGCCCCCTCCCAGGCACTCAGCACCCATCTGAGGGGTCCATGGCCTACCTGGCACTCGGTGCCCTCCAGATTCCTGGTGACCATGGCGTGCTTGGGCCGGTGCAGCATTGTGCACAGCTCCTGGCTCAGCTTCAGCGCCGCTGCCCGCACCAGCCGTGACGATTTCCTCCCGATCCAGATGAAGACATCCGACCAGCAGTCCAGGATGTACACGCTCTTGGTGTCCAGCAGGCTCTGCAGCTGAGGGCACCACAAGGAAGGGGGGGTCAGATGCCTGCAGGTGTTCCCAGATGGAAAACACCCTCCATGCTCCCGACAGAGCAGAGCATCCCCCAGCCAGGCTAGCTGAACCTCCCTCTCCCAGGGCATGGCTGGAGGCAGAAGGGGCATGAAACCAGTCTCACTGGTCAGACTGGGAGAACCTCCCCGCCCCATCCTACCAGGCGCATCTCTGGCATCAGATCAGCCTTCAGCCTCTTCTTGTGCTCCACGGAGAGCTTGTAGTTGATCTGGGGAAGCTCCAGGTAGCCCAGACCGAGGCCGACCTGCAGAGGGGATGGGGACAAAGGTGAGTGGGGACTGCAGGACCCTAGCAGGGCTGCTGGCCCTATGGATGCAGCTCCCCACCTTGTACAGCTTGGGCTTGTGGGGCTGGAAGTCATCAGGGACACAGGGTCGGATCTCCTCAGGCTGTCCCCCCAGCACGTCCCAGAATTCGGGGGTCTCCTGGCCCTGGGTGAGCAGTGTGATCTCGGCCTTGCCTTTTCGCTCATTCTTGTTGATCTTCTCAGCGAAGAGCCTGCAGTGGGAGCAGGTGAGATGGCAGCTGGGCTCCCCACACCCCCGGCACCCCTACCAGCCCTACCTGGCCTTGGTGGTGCTGCTCAGAGTGGCCTGGCTCCCACGCCACACCATGAGGTCAAGGCCATGATCCAGGAGGAAAACAAACCTGGTGGAGAGAGGTGAGAGGAATCAGGAGAGAATGGGGTGTGCTGAGCATCCTCCCAATCCTGGGGGTCCCTGCAGGGCACCAAGCGGGGTTTGAACCCATATTCTGATAGAAAGGTGCTGGCATAGCCCATTTGCACCACAGAACTGCAGCTATAATGTCTCAGGTGGACCCTGCTGAACCTTCTGCAAGGACCCTCTGTCCCCTGGCCACTCACCGCGGGTCCAGCGATGTCCCTTTCAGTGCCACTGGCTCCAGCTTGACATTCTTCTTCCCATAGACACGGTAGAGCCTGGAGAAGGGACAGCCAGGGTGAGACATGGGGTACTGCCTGCCCCACACATCTCCCCAGCCCCTGTCCCTAGCTGTACCTGGTGACGTACTGCGTGTCCTCAACAGTGAAGAAACCGCTGGCCGTGCCACCCTCGATGTAGGAGATGTCATTGTCGAAGACCTGAAGGCAGAGAGGGGGTGAGGCTGGGACAGGAGGGGTCGGGGGCTACAGGGGAGCTGGGGATTGGCCTCACCTGAAGGAACTCTTCACTTTCATCCCCCATCTCCTCCCGGATGCTGCGGCACTCAGCCCCCAGGTAGTTGCGGAGGTTGACAGCGTGGATGGCAGAACAGGCCTTCTTGTCCAGCGTGGCCTCCTGCCCAATCCAGTAGTAGATCTCCCAGTTCAGGGAACCATTCTCATCCAGGAAGGTCTGGGAAGGACAAGGGTGTGAGATGGGATGGCTGCAGCTCTGAGCAGGGGATGTGGGGGACCCTTAGTCCTCTCCAGCTACCTTGAGCACGATGTAGCAGTCGGCTTCGTAGAACTTGCCATGGAAAGCCTCGTCCACCAGCGTGGGCACGAAGTTCTCAATCTGCCAGACACAGAGGCCAGGCAGCTGTCCCACATCCTCACTGAAGAACTCCGAATAGTCCAGCTGTGGCTTCTCCAGGCCCTGGTCCCAGCGCCGAGTCTTCAGGTCTGGCGCCTTCGCCTCCCCACTCTCCTGTGGGATGGGAACAGCTCAAATTAGGGACACCAGAAACCTGGCTGGCACCCAAGGTAGGCAGGGACATTGTGATGCCCTCAGGGCCCCTCTCCTGTCCCAGACCCTACCTCTATCTTCTTATTCTTCTCCTGGGCCACATCTGACATCCCCTTCAGCACCTGCTTGGCCTGGTCATCCTGGGCAGAGTCCTTGCGTCGCCGGAGCCGCATCTTGCGGGCCAGTGGGTCCTTGGTGCTGCTCCCTGGGGACACAGGGACGGGGTGAGAGGCAGCCACGCCACCTGTGGGGCACCCTACGGGGCAGGGCTCATGTCCCAGCCTCTCCTAGGGCCATGCCAAGGCAAGGAATGTGTGCCTCCATTCCTACACACCCACCCGCAGCAGCAGCAGCGACGGTGGCGGGGGAGGCTCCGGCCAGGCGGAGCTGGTTCTGCAGGGAGAAGTCGATGTTGTACCACTCCGAGGATCGATCCGCCGGCTTCGGGGGCATCACCAGGCTGGGGTTCTCACGCACGTCCAGGATCTGCCAAGCAAGGCACAGAGACCTCGGTGAAGGACACGCTCACAGGGACATTTGGAAGTGTGGCATGGGATGGAGACCTCCACAGTGCTCCAGTGAGATGAGGGGATGTGGAAGGAGCACCGAATCCATGGCCTGCCTGAGCTGAACCATGTGGCAGATTGCAGGTATTGGCCCTGAGCTCCCCTGCCCTAGCCTCATCCAGCCCACCCTCCAGCCCTGGATCTCAGGGAGGTGCTGGGGCTGTGGTGGAGCCAGCCCAGGGCAGAGAGGCTCTGGGTGCCCACCTCCACGTCTGTCAGGAAGTGGATGGCCTCTGGCAGTGTCACCAGGCGGTTCTTGTTCAGCACCAACTTCCTCAGCTTGGAGCACCTGTGGGAGAGTGATGCTGGTGACAGGCCAGCCCAGGATGACCTGTGACCACACAACCTCTGTGTTCCCCCTTGGGGACACAGCAGATCCAGTTGTGTGTTCCTTACCTGCACAGGCTCTCAGGGATGAGCTCCAGGTTGTTGTTGGCTGCCATGAACTCTTCAAGATTGGTGAGCTTGCCAATGCCTGAGGGGATCCCATCAAAGTCCAGCTTGTTGGAGTTCAGGTATATCTTCTTCAGCTTACAGATGGCCGACTGGGGAAAGGGGGAGATGGTGGGGTGAGGGAGAACCATGGAAACACGAGCAGGGATGGCACATAAGGGCAGGGACNTTTTTTTTTTTTTTTGGTAAGATGAATTTAGCATTGTTTAGTTATTAAAAATACTGGTTTTTAATATTGAAAATAAAGCATTTAATATCAACTGCCTAGGCTGCAGGTGTTTGCTGAGCTTTGGAGCCAGGTGAGTGCTGGGGTTCCCCTGGGCTGCAGAGGGGCACAATCAGGGTTGGGGATGACCCCATTTGGGAGTGAGCCAGAGCCTGGGACAGTGTCGAGGTGAGAAATACAGCCTTTATTGATATGATCCAGATGGGCTGATCTCTGCTGGGGGTCCATCCCCCAGGACAGCAGGGACCACCTGTAAGGCCCAGGGCTGAGAGCCCCTCACTCCCCCCAGTTCTCCTTAGCAAAGCATCCTCCCACCCAAACTGGGAGTCACTCCTGTCCCCCAGTCACAGGGGGAGCTGGACACTGGTTTGAGGCAGCAGCATCCCCAAGCAGGGTGTGACAGGAGCCCACACCACCCCATATGCCCCCCAGGAAGGGAAGGGGCTGAGCTGGGCCCCGTGCTGGGAGAAGGGGGGACAGAGGGACAGCCCCAGTGATCCCCACTGGCCCCAGCTCGGGGAGAAGCGGCTCCAGGCTGAGCCTGGCCTTGGCGGCAGCGCAGGGTGCCGGGGTCTGGCCCTGCCAGGGGGACAGTGGCCAGAGCACCGGGTGCCCCCAGCCCTTAGGTGGGCGGCTTGCGGAACACACTCCAGGCGTGGAAGCAGCGGGTGAAGGGCCAGGGCTCGTTGCCTTTCCGCACCAGCCGCAGCTTGCGGGGGTGTGTGGGGTCCTTGGAGCGCATGTGCTGGATGTACACCTGGGGCAGAGCATTGCCGTGGGGTCCTGGCCCTCACCCACCTCCAGGGCTGGCATTCCCCAGCCCAGAGATTTGCACCACCCAGATCAGGGCCCTGAGGGGAGAAGGAAATGCCCAAATCTTCCCCCACACAGTCCCAAGCATGGAGGGAGGTCTTACCTGGCATGCCTTGAGGCTCAGCTTGATCTCCACCTGGCTGGTCTGGGTGCCCACCCACATGTAGACCTGAAGAAAAGATCAGCAGCTGGGCTCAGCCCACAGAGCCACTGGAAGATCTGGGCCCAGGACAGCCTCATGCCCCCAGCTCACCTCCCGCCCGTTATCCAGCAGCATGATGTCATCATCAGCCAGGTCATCCTGGCAGAAATCTGAGCACTTTTCTGACACGGAGAAATAACCCTTCTCATTGGAGCATCTGCAGTAAGATGGACAGAGACAGCAGCAGGTATGAGTAGAGGGAAGGAAAATGATGGAGCAGCTGTTCAAGCTGGTTGGTTCCCAAGGGGGATGGGCTCTGTGGGAGGAAGGGAAGTGGCACAGCCTGGAGCCAGTGCCCACCTGAAGAGCCGTGAGTGCTTCATGTAGTCGGCATCTTCATCGTAGGGCTTCTGACCCCCAATGCCCACCCAGAAGAAGTTTTCGGGTTCTTCTCCCTCGTTGATAACCTGAAAGGGCAGGAACAAGGCTGAGTGTAGCCTGGATGGTCACTGTCACCCAGGTAAGGTGGCACTGAAGCCCTGCTCACCTGTTTGCTGTAGGAGTCATCAAACATGTGGTTCATGATGTCCTCAGCCAGCTTGGCCTCATCAGGGTCAGCTGCCCGGCCCACCCAGGTGTAGACAATGCCCTGGTTGTCCGTGCTCTCAAAGGGCACCTGGGGGGACAGTGGAGTCAGGGCTGCCCAGGGGGGCAGGAGGGCACCCAGGCAGCCCTGAGGATGCTCAGCCAACAGCAGTACCTTGAGGATGAAGCAGAACTCGGAGTTGAGCAGAGCAGCATCCGTGTTGATCTGGATGCACCTGGAGACAGAGACCCATTAGCTGTGCCCACCAGCAGGAATCCCACCTGGATCTGGCACCCGTGGGTGCTGCCTGGCACAGAGCAGCCCTGGAGCACTGACCTGGTGCAGAGGGCCCCGCCGTTGGTGCGGATGTGGTACAGGCTGGGCTGGGGAGTGCTGACCCGGTCCTTCCGCTTGCCCCGGTGGATCACAAACCTCCTCTTGAAGTGCGACAGGAATTTGGGGTTCTCCTGCTGCTGGGTCATGCGCACCACCTGGACAGGGGTGCACGTCAGAAGGGGCACAGGGACTTCCCAAACACAGCTCCAAGCCCCAGCTGCACCCCCCTGCCAGCTCCCATCTCTGCTGTCCTCTGCCTCAGCCTGAGGAGCAGACAGGGGATGGGGGAGAGGAGAGGCAAAGCTGGGCCACCCCTGTGTCATCCCCAAACTGTGTCACCTCCAGCTTGCCACGGAAGTGACTCTCAAACTTCTTCTGGAGGCTGAAGGTGAAGGTGAGCCAGCCCATGTTGGAGGCCTCCCGGCCCTGCCAGAAGTAGACGATGCACTGGGAGTCTTCCTCTGGCTGCTTCTCCTCCTCTTCTTCCTCACCCTCCTCTTCCCCTTTGCCTTCACCCTTCTTCTTTTTCTCCTCATCCTCCTCGTACTCCACTGGTACCCAGTACCTGAGGGCAGGAACAGGGAGTGATTTGACGGATGGGACAGTCGGGAGGACTGGGCAGGAAAGTTGGGGACAAGGTGGTCCAGCACCCTTCTGAGAGGGGACAAGCCAGGTGTCACCTGCACAGGAAGACGTAGCAGTCGTGGGTGTGGAAGTGGCCAAACTCCTCCTCAGGCAGGCGAGTGAATTTCTTGCCCTCCAGCACGAAGCCCTCCATGCCATCCAGGTCCTCGTTCCACTCCTCCATCAGCTGCTCCGCCTGTGGCCCCACGTGCTCAGTCAGCCTCCCAGCTCCTCCACCAGCACCCAGCCCCACCCCATGGGGGATTCATGGGGGGTCCCCAGCCCTACCTCACTGAGGGGCATGGGGGGCTGGCGGGGCAGGAAGAGTGCAGTGAGGTCAGCCTTCATCTGGTCCTTCTTCTCGGCGTCCTTGCGGACCTTGCCAGCCAGGCCGCCGTCCTGCAGCACCGTCTCGGCATTCCGGGTGTAATCCACGCGCAGGACGTCATCCCAGTTCTTGAACTTGGACTTGAACACCTACATCACAGAATTGTTAAGGCTGGAAAAGACCTCCAAGATCATCAAGTTCAAGCCATGACCGATCTCAACCTCGTCAACCAGACCAGAGCACCGGGTGCCATCTCCAGTCATTCCTTGAAAACCTCCTGATGTTCAAGGTGCAAACTGGGGAGTAGGTAACAGACCCTCGGCCACAGCCCCCTCCCAGGCACTCAGCACCCATCTGAGGGGTCCATGGCCTACCTGGCACTCGGTGCCCTCCAGATTCCTGGTGACCATGGCGTGCTTGGGCCGGTGCAGCATTGTGCACAGCTCCTGGCTCAGCTTCAGCGCCGCTGCCCGCACCAGCCGTGACGATTTCCTCCCGATCCAGATGAAGACATCCGACCAGCAGTCCAGGATGTACACGCTCTTGGTGTCCAGCAGGCTCTGCAGCTGAGGGCACCACAAGGAAGGGGGGGTCAGATGCCTGCAGGTGTTCCCAGATGGAAAACACCCTCCATGCTCCCGACAGAGCAGAGCATCCCCCAGCCAGGCTAGCTGAACCTCCCTCTCCCAGGGCATGGCTGGAGGCAGAAGGGGCATGAAACCAGTCTCACTGGTCAGACTGGGAGAACCTCCCCGCCCCATCCTACCAGGCGCATCTCTGGCATCAGATCAGCCTTCAGCCTCTTCTTGTGCTCCACGGAGAGCTTGTAGTTGATCTGGGGAAGCTCCAGGTAGCCCAGACCGAGGCCGACCTGCAGAGGGGATGGGGACAAAGGTGAGTGGGGACTGCAGGACCCTAGCAGGGCTGCTGGCCCTATGGATGCAGCTCCCCACCTTGTACAGCTTGGGCTTGTGGGGCTGGAAGTCATCAGGGACACAGGGTCGGATCTCCTCAGGCTGTCCCCCCAGCACGTCCCAGAATTCGGGGGTCTCCTGGCCCTGGGTGAGCAGTGTGATCTCGGCCTTGCCTTTTCGCTCATTCTTGTTGATCTTCTCAGCGAAGAGCCTGCAGTGGGAGCAGGTGAGATGGCAGCTGGGCTCCCCACACCCCCGGCACCCCTACCAGCCCTACCTGGCCTTGGTGGTGCTGCTCAGAGTGGCCTGGCTCCCACGCCACACCATGAGGTCAAGGCCATGATCCAGGAGGAAAACAAACCTGGTGGAGAGAGGTGAGAGGAATCAGGAGAGAATGGGGTGTGCTGAGCATCCTCCCAATCCTGGGGCAGGACACCAAGCGGGGTTTGAATCCATATTCTTATAGAAAGGTGCTGGCATAGCCCATTTGCACCACAGAACTGCAGCTATAATGTCTCAGGTGGACCCTGCTGAACCTTCTGCAAGGACCCTCTGTCCCCTGGCCACTCACCGCGGGTCCAGCGATGTCCCTTTCAGTGCCACTGGCTCCAGCTTGACATTCTTCTTCCCATAGACACGGTAGAGCCTGGAGAAGGGACAGCCAGGGTGAGACATGGGGTACTGCCTGCCCCACACATCTCCCCAGCCCCTGTCCCTAGCTGTACCTGGTGACGTACTGCGTGTCCTCAACAGTGAAGAAACCGCTGGCCGTGCCACCCTCGATGTAGGAGATGTCATTGTCGAAGACCTGAAGGCAGAGAGGGGGTGAGGCTGGGACAGGAGGGGTCGGGGGCTACAGGGGAGCTGGGGATTGGCCTCACCTGAAGGAACTCTTCACTTTCATCCCCCATCTCCTCCCGGATGCTGCGGCACTCAGCCCCCAGGTAGTTGCGGAGGTTGACAGCGTGGATGGCAGAACAGGCCTTCTTGTCCAGCGTGGCCTCCTGCCCAATCCAGTAGTAGATCTCCCAGTTCAGGGAACCATTCTCATCCAGGAAGGTCTGGGAAGGACAAGGGTGTGAGATGGGATGGCTGCAGCTCTGAGCAGGGGATGTGGGGGACCCTTAGTCCTCTCCAGCTACCTTGAGCACGATGTAGCAGT